TCTAGGATAATGGCGCTGTATGGCCAAATACAAGAATTTGATTCGAATGATGAAACCATTAATGATTATCTAGATAGGTTAAGCTTTTACCTTGAAGCTAACGACGTGACGATAGAAGCCAAAAAGAGAGCTGTTTTGTTAACAGTCATAGGGCCTCAACAATTTAGGCTATTAAAGGACTTATGCGCACCAGCTAGTCTAACTACCAAGAGCTTTAACGAGCTGAGCAAACTGCTAACAGACCACCATGCGCCCGTACCATCAAAGTTCCTGTGTAGAGCCAGATTTGACGGTAGGACTCGTCAACCAAACGAATCAATATCAGAATATGTTGCTGCTTTACGTCATCTAAGTAGATTCTGTGAATTCGGGGACACGCTGTCCGACAGACTATGTGAAAAGTTTGTGACAGGTGTAAATAACCCTGATGTTCAAAGAAAGTTGCTTCTCGAGTCAGATCTCACATTGGAAAAAGCAATACAACTAGCAACTTCATTCCGGCAGTCATCTGAGGCGGCGAGATCTCAAGCGCCCTCAGGGATCCATGCAGTAGCCAGCAGGTTAGTCAACAAACACCAACCCCATCAGAGCATTTCAACTTATGCTAAACAGCCTGCAAGTTCAAATCCTAGATCTAAATCTAGTAATAATTATCAAAAATGTAATCGATGCAATGGTCCCCATGCATCTCATCGATGCAAGTTCAAGTCAGCAACTTGTTATAAGTGCAGTAAGCAAGGTCACATTGCCAAGGCCTGCTTTGCAAAGTCTTCGTCTGTTGCTAAATCTAGCCAGTCAAGACAGTACCGCAACCAAAGGCAGCACTATGTTGACTCTCACCAAGACTACCTAACCCAACCAATGAACCACTCTACCTGTGAAAATGCTCAAACTGATTCGCAGCCGGAGTTCAACCTGTTCTCTGCGAAATCAAAAAGTCATGCTCCCATCAATGTACCAGTTTGTATAAACGGTAAGAGCATCATCTTCCAACTTGACACTGGAGCATCTCTTTCCGTCATCACAAAGAAGGACTTTGACGCTGTCACAGGAGGATCAGTGCCTCTACAACCATGTCACAAGTGCCTAACAACATACACAGGTGACAATGTTTCGGTAATAGGAGAGTGTATGGTTCATGTAAGTTATAATGGTCAAAGTGTTAAACTTCCTCATCTTGTGGTTGAAGGAAATGGACCACCATTACTAGGTAGGAACTGGTTAGTTGATCTTAAGTTAAACTGGGAGAGTATATTTTCAGTGAACAAAGCAAGAGAATCTAGTTTTACTTCAATAGATAAAGTAGTATCTGAAAACGAAGGTGTTTTTGGTAGTTCAGGATTACTAAATGATAGGACAGTGAAGATAAGCATTAAAGACACAAATCCAAGATACTGCAAAGCTAGAGTTCCACCTTATGCAATGAGGGATAAAATTGAAAATGAGCTAAGTAGATTGGAATCTAATGGTATCATAAAGAAGGTAGACTATTCCGATTGTGCCATTGTTAAAGAAGGATGCTTCTGTAAGAATTTGTGGAGACTATAAAGCTACACTGAATAAGCAAATAGAGCTAAATAAGTACCCTATTCCTAACATTGAGGAAATTTCTTTGAATTTGGCAGGAGGAGACAAATTCACTGAATTAGACTTTAGTCATCCTTACACTCAACTAGAACTGCATCCAGATTCAAAAGTCTATACTACAATAAACGCACATAAAGGACTCTACCAATATGAAAGACTATGTTTTGGTATATCATCCAGCCCTGGAATTTTCCAAGCTGTCATGGACAGTATTTTTAAGGATATTCCAAATGTTTGTGTTTACTTTGACAATGTGTACATAACTGGTAAGAATGACACTGAACATCTTAAAACACCTGATAAAGTCTTGAAAATAGTTGGTGAAAAAGGTTTAAAGATAAACAAAGATAAATGTCAATTCATGCTGACAGAAATTAGTTTTCTTGGTTACATTTTGAGCAAGCAAGGTCTCAGACCTCAGCCTGAGAAAACAAAAGCCATTAAAGAAAACAAACCCCTACCTGAGCATGCCTCACCAAGAATTCAAAGATGGGCTATCACACTAACTGCATACAATTATGAATTGAAATACAAACCTGGATCTGAGAATAGTGCAGATAGTTTTAGTCGTTTACCTTTAAAAAACCAAAGCCTTAGTTATGTACCAGAAGATGTATTTGTTCTTTTCACTATCATGGATAACTCCAATATAAATGTGAATGATATTAAAAGAGAAACACAAAAAGATGAGTGCTTAATAAAAGTATCTGAGTACTGTAAGAATGGTTGGCCTGAAGAGTCTGTGAATGATGACTTAAGGCCATATAAAATAAGAAAAATGGAATTAAGTCTAAAAGATGGAGAAGATGCAGTCCATTATCAGTCAGAGTTGCCTAAACTTAATATTTGTAACTTAATAAATGATTATGGTGATATGGCAATTTCAAATGCTTTTAAAGAGAATACATTAGTAAGAAGGAATTTGATCATCAAACAACCTTGCTAACATCATTAGCACTTACAGAAACTAAAAGGGTAACATCAAAAGAAAAAAAAAGATTTTTGCCATTTAATACACCCACTTCAAATACTGGATCACAGTTGCAAATTGATAGGGTCCAGGATAGTACTTTTAAACAGTATTTTTGGTTACCAAAAAGCACTATCAGATTACCTGAGAAAATTGATCAATCAAAGAAATCTATGTCAGTTAAGGATCTGAATAATAGCATAATACTTTCAGATGCCAATTCAAAAATAGTTCCATTAAATCATGACAAAACATCCATTGAAAGAGAATTTGGATTTAATGAGAATGTGTATCTGAGAAATTATGGGAGAAGGGAAAAATGGATGCCAGGTCAAATTGTTCAAGGTACAGGACCTGTGTCTTATAAAGTAAAAACAAATGATGGACTTATTGCCCGTAGACACGCAGACCAGTTAAAAATAACTTGTGCAGATAATAAGTGTGAATCTGTCAATCCCACCAAATCTGAACAGTTCACACCAACTCAGTTTGTTCCACAACCAAGTTCTGTTGATATGAGTGAACCAAGTGGTCTAGAGTCAGAAAATGTAAATTCTGGAATTAATGATTTAGATCCTAGACCTCCTGAGATAGAGAATCCAGATGGTCAGAATCTTGAGTCACCAAATCAAAAGCCACTGAGAAGGTCAAGCAGGACAATCAAAGTCCCAAATAAGTTAGACCTATGATTTTAAAGGTAAAAAGGACTTTGACATCATTGTTTTGTATTTTGATTATGTTGTAACATATTGTGCATTGTTTGTAAGGATGTAATCTACCAAATGATTTAAATCATGTAATGTTCATGTTACAATATAATTGGTGATTTTGGAATACTATCATTTGTCTATTGAGAGATGTGTTGTTGTTTACTAAGGGTAAAGGGATGTAATATATTGAGAATTGTGAAGTCAAGGGAACTCACTCTTCTTGTATTAGTATTATATTTATAATGTTGTTTTTGAGTGATGCCCCTTGTATTATTGTTTAGTACTTCCTGTATCCAACATGGTGGCTGAGGCCCAATAAAGTTCTATATACAAACAGCATGGTTTCTATTGTCAGTGTTTCAATCTACCTCAAACACGACCAAAAGTAGACCTGCACCTTCTACAAAGTACACTCTAAAGCAGTGATTCTTAACTTTTTGGAGGTACCAAACCCCAAGAGTTTCAAATGCGCATTCACCAAACCCTTCTTAATAGTTGTATCATCCCCCCTGACAAAATCCGATCGTGAATCATATGAGTCGGCTATGTGTTTTGACCTACGAGGAAGCCCCGAGACTGACTTACCGAACCTCTTGGGTTCGATGGAACTCACTTTTCTAAACGCTTTTGATTTTCTTCTTTTTATTCGTTTCGGCTTTCTAAGGAATATAGGCGCAGGAAACACTTCGTATGACCTTAATCTAACAAACTTATAATCCAACTATATAGTATGTCATAACAGAGACTGTTCCAAAGATAGAACATAAAAAGACTGTCCTAAACTAATTAGCACCTGCTACAAACTGCCCTCTTAACTCAGATGAGGTTTATTTTTTTCTGACATTAATAATAATTTTTAACGGACAATGCAACTTAAGTGGAATTTAATTGGCGTCGAGTAAAGATTTAGGGAACGACAATCATACATCGTAATTATTAATCCTTTTCCGGACTTTCGAACTTTCTCTCTCTCTCTCACACACACACACAGTTGGGGTCGCTACGCCTCTGACTAAAATGTGTCCACATTAAAACGTGACCACATTACAACGTGACCACATTAAAACGTGATCACAATAAAACGTGACCACATTAAAACGTGACCACATTAAAACGTGGCCACATTAAAAGTGACCACATTAAAACGTTGCCACATTAAAACGTGACCACATTAAAACGTGACAACATCAAAACGTGACCATATTAAAACTCGACCACATTAAAACGTGGCCACATTAAACGTGACCACATTAAAACGTTGCCACATTAAAACGTGACCACATTAAAACGTGACCACATTAAAACGTGACCACATTAAAACGTGACCACATTAAAACGTGTTCATTTTAAAACGGAATATCTGGTGTTTAGACAAATTTATCATTTCGCTACACTAGACCAAATCTAACACTAGACCAAATTTAACACTAGACTAAATCTAATACTAGACTAAATCTAATACTAGACTAAATCTAATACTAAACTAAATCTAACACTAGCCCTGACCCAAAACCTAACCCTAATTCCTTTCAGCTTGATAGCAATCATCGTTGGGTGCTGGCGGAGTACTTTTTGAGATAATTGCTAAAATAGCTAATTAAAACCTTCATTATAGAGCAAAGCGTGGCGTGGCAAATGTCAAGTCACGTACTTTAGCGACCGCTTTGTATGTCAATTGTCGCGGCTACACTCGTGAGTATTTATGGAGTAGGGTAGATCTGATCAGCCCCACTAGACTATATTCAGACTTCAGGGAGCGATCGCTTTACTTCAAGATGGCTTGTCCAATAATCTTCTTCTGCATTGTTTTCTTTTGTCTTTTTCGACTAATGCCGGCTACGACTGACATTAACCATGGCAAAGACATAATTGCAAAGGTGATTTTTAACTATTTATTCTTAGTATACATACCATTGTTAAATATACATGACACTCTCAATTTCGTTTCGCCTTTTCGTATCTTAGCTAAATCTATGTCAATATGACATCTTTTAAAACCGATTTTTTAAAAAATGTTCTACGTCAACGGAGTTTTTAATACAGATTTATATAAAACTTTCCGTCCCGGTCAGGCAATGCGCTAGCCATTAAAAGAGCAGCCGAATCACAATTTAAAGGTTTATTGTTTTAATGCTACTTCGGTTTCATCAAACATCAGATGCTATAAGTCAATAATTTATTTTACATTTTTACTTTCTCGTATATACGTAGTATAGAGAAAGTATTGTAATCGTGCAAAAAAAAAATCGAGATTTTTACAAATCTCGACGTTTTACACCTCACTGATACGGAAAAACATAATTTTGCAATCTTGTCCGTATGTCTGTGTGTGTGTGTGTCTGTGTGTGTGTCTGTCCGTGTGTAAACACGATAACTTGAGTACCGTTACAGCTAGGTTGATGAAATTTCATATATAAGTATTTTATCAAAATCGTAGATCCGTATCAACTTTTGAGCGATTTCCGATAACCGGAAGTGGTACTTTTCCTACTTTGAATTTTTTAAAAGCCTATAACTTGAGTACTATTTCAGATAGATAAATGAAATTTCACATGTAAGTAAAAGATCTAATTCTCTACCTTCTGTTAAATTTTGAGTAATTTCCGTTGACTGGAAGTAGTAATTTACGCTACTTCCGATTTCTCAAAAAACTAATGTAAATTTTAAAAGTACTAATAATATTGCGCACTATTATGCGCTTTTTTTATTTGCGTTCACTTGGTGTGCAATTAATTTGTCTACGAGATTTTATTCTATTTTTAAAACTTTAAGTATTTAAAATGGATTAAAAATCATGTCTATAGCCCGAGTTTCCATCCCCTGTTATTTTATATAAGAATATTCGAGAAAGTTTAGGGGAGATCACTCCCGGTTTATTTAATACACTTTTCTTTTTTTACTAATAAATTCCACTATATGTCAATGTACATTTTGTTTAATCTTAAAAATAGCAACGCATTTTCGATGCTCATGTGGCAAATGATTATCTGCACAATAGAAATAGCAGTTATTTAAAATACCGTACTTGTTAGTTCTAATAAAAATTATTTGTATTCCTAATGGAATTAATTTAAGATCATTATAATGTTATTTATATTATGGTTTTATTTTCCTCTGTATATGAAAAAAGAAATATAGTGGCCTTTATATTTCAATTAATGGTAATCCAATTGCAGATTATTTTTAAGTAAAAAAATACCTGATATCAAATCCAATTTAAAGCCCAAAGAAACTATAATCTAGCCCATAAAAAGCAACTGTGAAAATTAAAACATTTCAAACTGAAAATGTTATGTTTGCATCTTGTTAAACGAACTCAATAAAACTTTATGTTTATCTAACAAATTATGAAAACTCAATGTCAATCTACACTAAAAAATCAAATCAATATAAATGTTTTGAGAAATTCAAATTAAGGCCTAGGCCAACTTAAACATTCTTCTTTAATGAATTCACTTTCCAGATCAACTCAGCCTAAATTAAAATTAATAATACTTAAACCCAACTCAACCTTAAAGTCTTTTAAATATTACTTTAATCACTATTCGAGATATATATGAGACGATTCCAGATATATATGCAACCATCCTAATATATAAAAGCCTATGTGCGCACTTCTCTCTGTCCGCAATATTTTTTGGCTACGTGATCAACATGTTCAGCGATACATGGAGAAATTAGAGATTTTGGTTGAAAATAATATGGTGGACGGTATAAATGTATAAACTAAATTTTCTTTAAAAAAGGAAAATAAAAATAAAAGCATATTCGAATGTAGAGACACATTTCTATTAAAAACCGTTTACTGTCGTGACAAGAACGCATTAAACAATGACGTCACATGTCATATGTTTACACTAAGGAAACGAATGGCGTCATCTTCCAATTTTAGAATATAAAGAAATAAACTATTTCATTAAAATTTTATTTAGGTCTACGTACGCTATGAAATTTATACAATCCTTGATTATTTTATATACATCTTTGTTGGCTTAGCTATGGAATTGGCTAATTTGGGATAAAATGTAATTTGAAATTGAAATAATAGGGCCTATTCGCGTAACTTAATTTTCTAACGCGGACTCTCTATGTCAACTACACCACTAAGTTTATATCTATTTAGGACTTCCCAGATAGCTGAGTGTTTTTACAAGCTTTTATTTTACTCACTTCCTCGTCAGTCTGTCGTCAGTCTGACTGTCTGTCTAGATCGAAACGGCCGAGCGAAAATACAGGCACTTTCAACTGACAGATACGATTCGTATTCGGAACATGGGTCAAGACATGAAGACAATGCATCATGACATTAAATTTGACTTCATTGGATGCCTAATTAATTTTTTACCAAATTAGTAGGCAGTTCTATCCAACTACTCCACAGGCGTCATCAGGTTCAATAGCGCGTCATCATTTTCAATAGTCGAACAATTGTTTTTAGTCATGTAACTCTATTGTAAATAAAAACATGTAAAGTACTAAAAAAAAATGTCATAACATTTTTTTCATAAAAAAACGTTTTTATTCAAGCTTTTATGTACTAATGCACTAAAAAGTTGAAAATAAATTATAGACTACTATTTAAATAACTATAAAGAAATGCGTGGGTCACTTCAGTATCTATTGGAAACCTTTACTAATATTTAGGAAGAGACCGACGCTTTTCTTTATAGTTATTTAAATAGTAGTGTATAATTTATTTTCTCCTTTTTATTGCATTATTACATAAAAGCTTGATATTAAAACGTTTTTTTATGAAAAACATTTTTCGTAATCTTAACAATGTTTCATTTCAATGCTCCTGATCAATAAAATGTTTCTTTTCTAATTTTCCGATAATGACTTATTTAAAAAGCTGAATTACAATTCATAAATAAATATCTAAAAGAAAAATCGGGTAGCCTATTTGTAAGGAGAAGAGAGCTAACAGTCACCACAATTGCCCTTGTAACGGGTACCGATGGCAAGTGAATACTATTTTTCGAGGGTTAAGAAAATTTTTTTCGATATAAATTACATTGTTTTAATTATGTCAAAGAGGAAAGCCTCAAAATGTTTGGTCTACAATTTAACTATTTGAGTTTACATATTTTATATGACATAATTAATGATTAAGCGAAACATAAATTTCATTTCAAACTAAACAGTTGGCGGTTGTCAAAACCAAACTTCAAACAGCAAGCACAGAACTTAATCAAGCTCTTTCGAACATGGAAATACTTCAGTTAGAGGTAGTTATGTCATTTTTATATCATTGTTTTATCAGTTTTTATCACGCTCTTCAATGCATATTTTACGACTGCATCTAACTTCTGAATACATTGAGACATAAAAAGCGGGAGTGATCTCCCCTAAACGTTCTCAAATATTCTTATATAACACTTCCGGAGATGACACCTTGCGATATCGACATGATTCTTAATCTATTTTTAACTAAGTAAACTTATTAAAATAGAATAGAATCTCGCAGAAAAAAAGAATTGCGCATCAAGTGAACGGAAACCCTATGTGTATAATAGTGCGGAATATTCATGTCATGTCATCATGTCATGTTTGCCTGTCGTCCCTACTGGGACATAGGCCGCTGACAAGAGCTTTCCAGACGTCTCTGTCCAGGGCTAGTCTCTCCAACTGTCCCCAGGGTGCGGAATATTAGTACTTTATAAATTCATATGCGTAATTTCAATAGTGCAAATTACTACTTTCGGCCAACGGTAATTACTTAAAAATTGACTCAAGGCAGCGAATTAGATCTTTTACTTATATTTGAAATTTCGTTAATCTATCTAAAATATTATTCAAGTTATAGGCTTTTGAAAAATTGAAAGTAGAATAAGTTCCAATTACGGTTATCAGAAATCGCAGAAAAGTTGATACTGAAGAACACATACATACGAAAAGAATTGCAAAACTATGTTTTTCCGACTCAAGGAGGTGTGAAACGTTGAGATGTGAGAAAGATCTCGATTTCGATTTTTGCACTATTACAATACTTCCTCTATACTCCGAATTCGAGAAAGTAAAAATGGTGTATAAAATCGAGAGGTACACAGCCAGAGGCGTATCCAGGTTTTCGTTGTAGGGGGAGCGAAAAGAGCAAAAAAAAGGCGTCGAATTTTTAACACGTTCTATATACGTATATATATATATATATATATATATATATATATATATATATATATATATATATATATATATATATATATATATATATATATATATATATATATATATATATATATATATATATATGTAAAATTACTAGCTGTATGTCATTACTTCGCTATGATGTGAAATAAAGTGAAAGTAGCACTCTGAAGAAATAAGAAAAAACACACAATGTAGGCCGACAAAACAAAAAATTGTATCAATCTAAACAAAAAAATATATATATATACACACACACTACGACCAAAAACAATGAACGTAACACAATCTGTTTTGTAATTCTTGTAAAAACATTCTTACATAAATAATTCCTGGGAAATTATTTAAAACAAGTGAAATAGGGGAAATAGTCACTCTCTTAATATAAATATGTATATATCTACATATTTTTTTTATAAATGTCAAAACAAATAAATAATTACTTAAGAATATAATGAAATTGTTTAACACTATTCGTGTTTACAAAATGTTTTTGTCTATAATCAGAATTTAATATATCGTCATCATAAATGCTAAAGTATTACAGCATAATGAAAGTTTTTAAAATCAGAGTTGGTATAAAACCACGCTTTTCGTTTTAATAGAAGCACATTCGGAATAACAGCCTACATTTAACTAAATATTGGTCTTTTAGTTCAGATCATATATTTTAATTAACTACTGCTTCTTTATGTTCTTTAAAGATCATTTTTTAACATAGTATGGGTTAGATCTCTGTATTGTTCACACACCTTTTTACTGGTATTTGCAAAACCAATATTCACAGAGTGTTGTGTTTAAAAAGCTAATTTTCTGGCGGCATGGTACTTTGATACATCATTACGCGTTTTTCTACATGTACTTAACAGATCAGTTCGGGGTGGGTTGGGGGGAGGGTGGGTTCAAATTCATTCACTAATTAACTTTAGGTCAATTATCCAACCCAGTGTATACCTAGGTGTGACATTGATGTCGCTCTACACAATTGTGGTGGTGAGGTGTGTGTGGGGGGGGGGTAGATAACCAACTCCGAGTGAACATAGCGTCAGTTTTTAGATGACTGTTCTAAACATACATATATATTACACAAAGATATATTACACAAATATATATTTCAGAAATAGATTTAAATAAGTAGCAGTGGTATTATGACAATATTTTTTTTTACAGAGGGGTCCATGTGGGAGGGGGTTGTAACTGTTTCATATAATTTCTTCATCGTGATGACGTTGTTGACCTTGTCAAAATTTCCCCACCACTACGCAGTTTGCTCATAAGTAAATTTAAATAGAGGTGCCACATCAGTTGTATTTGTTTCTGTATTGTAATTTTTTAAAATTAATCACACGATTCAAACTGTATATATAAAGTAATTATGTGTGAAGTTTTATGTATAACATTTTCTAATTCAATTATTCGTTAGCAAATAAATTATACAGTTGCCTTAAACTTAACACCCCTCTTGCCAAGTGGTACTACCGTAGAGATTTTTTAAACATTGCAATGCATCGTAATGGTTATTTTTATAATGGCAAACTGATGCAGCTATTATTACGTGTTGTAAACGTAGACACTACTAGACTAGTACTATAATGTTTAATTTCTGCATGAAAAGAAATCTTGTGATTTACATAGATGTGCCGACCAAAAATATTTTTTAACAAATATCATTGTTTAAAACTTTGAGTTTAAAAAGTTTCCAAAAAGGCGCCACTTTGCTGAAAATGGCCAGAGGGGGAGCGGCCGCTCCCCCTGCTCCCCCCCCCCCCTGCGTACCCTACTGTACACAGCGTTTTTACGCGATCACTCTTTCAATAGAGAACAATTTAAGATAGTCTTAGCTCATTCACACATTAAGTTTACACGTTGTAGACTAACGGGCATCATAGAAAAGTTTTATTTCTAAAAACAGACTTTTTAAAAGGCCAGCCCGAAAACTTTTGTTTTTCCAGACTTATAAAAGTCTAACATTTACATGATTAAACATTTTCCAGACTCCCAGGACCCCCTCCCCCCCCCCCCGACATTACCCCCGGAGTAATTACCCGCTGTCAATTACCCCGCCCATTAGGACATTACCACCACGGACATAGCGTTAGACTACAGCAAGGGTTAGGGTTAGGGGATAGGGATAGGAATGGGGTTAGGTTTTAGGGTTAGGGTTAGGCTCAAGGTTAGGGTTAGGGTCAGGGCTAAGATTAGGGTTAGTGTTATGGTCAAGTTTAGGGTTAGGGTCAGCGCCAGGATTAGGGTTAGTTTTATGGTCAACAATGTCTGGAGTTGGTTTTGGGTTTGTGTTAAGTTATAGGCTGAGGTATATGATTAGGTTTTGGTCTTTTTCTTAAGGTTAGGATTAAGGTAATATATAGGTATAGAGTTTGAATAAGAGTTAGGATTCTAACTTGAGGGGGGGGGGAACTTAGGGTTAGGGTTAGTAAAGCCTAACATTTACTATTCACGCTGACCACGCAATGAGTAAAATTTTTATAAAATGAGAATTAAAGTAAACAGAGATTCAGGTCGCGAACCCAAGGAGGTGCAATTTACAAATGTTATGACTTTTAGTAGTCTAAGGCATGGGTTCCCAAGAGCTTTCTGGGGGGTCGCCAAATGGTAGACTAAACTCTAGCAATGAATAAAAAACATAAATATTTAGAAAAAATATTTGAAATTCAGCATTACTAACATCACTGGAAATCGAATAGAGAATAAACAATTTGTACTGTGCAAAGTTGTTCTTAGTCAGGAGTCTATGAAAACTTCCAAACGTCAATTTGAGACGAGTCATTCGGAACACACCAAAAAAGATATGTAGTTCTTTCGTCGGCATGAAGCTAGTTGCAAACGTCAGAGACTTGATCGAACAGAACTTTTTTTTACCAAGAAAACACAGCATTAGTGCAAGCATCATATGAAGTAGTATTAGAAATTGCTAAGCAAAAAACCTCTCACACAAAGGAGAAAATCTCATCAAACCATGTATGCTGAAGATGGTAAAATTAATTCTTGGGGATTCCAGTGCAGTAAAGATGCAACACATATCTCTGTCTAATAATACTATGCAGCGGCTTATATTAAAAGACAAATTTAGAATGAAATCAAGCTTTCACCATTGTTTGATTTTCAAGTTGACGAATCGACAGACGTGAGTTCGTGTTCGCAGTTGCTTGTCTTTGTGAAATATATTCATTCAGATGTTAGCAAATAAGAGTTGATGTTTTGTGAAGATATCATTGAGAAAATAAATACGTTTTTTGAAACTGGAGGATTAAAATGGGAAAACGGCTGTGGGGCTTGTACGGATGGTGCGTCATGTTTCCGTACGCTGGCTGTCAATAGGAAATGTCAATCGTGTTTTTGAATTGAAAGATAAAATCAAGATGTTCTTGGAAGTGCAAGGAAACAAGACCTTTTGATATACTTTAACGACATGGTGTGGTTGGAGAGAGTATCATACCTAGCATATATATTCGAACATCAACATTAGCGTAACCTGTTAAAGGAACGAATATTATCTCTTTTCATGATAATCTCTTGGCAATTTCTATTAAAGCTGCAAAATTGGCGAGGAAAAATAAATATTTGAAATACTGCCATGTTTGAGGAACTCTGCAGGGTGGTGTGATAGATAAAAATTTTAAAGGATTCTGTGCATCTTGAATCTCCTGACAAGGTACTGCGGCGTTATTTTCCCCGAGCTGAAAGAATAAGAATCTGCATCGTCACCCATTCTCTGCTTTCCTTAATGTTACCAGCATTGCCGATGAATAAAAAGATGAATTCTTAAATTTGCAAAATTTAATTGTTAATGCTAATTAATGCTTGTTAATAGATTGTAATTTTGCTAATCGTATTAAAACAGTTATAAAGAATAATTCATATTGAAAGTCTACTAGAAAATATTAATTTAGTGCTCATTATTTTCTTTACTAATTTCGACTTGTTAATTATATGGGGGTCGCTGGTAACTTACGTTTTATGAAAGGGGGTCGCCACTCGAAAAAGGTTGGGAACCACTGGTCTAAGGCATTTACAAGTGCACAAAAATTATTTTAAAGACAAAAATAAATGTTTAATAGGTTTCAGTTTCTGTTTGGTATGACAAAAATATTTGAATAAACCAGGCACTTATCATATGTGGTCTAATTTGTACTAAGTCGTTTGAAGTACACCAAACTCTGATGGGTACTTAACTCACGTTAGGGAAAGTAAAGGTGGCTGGGCATAGTGCTTAACACACTATCTCTTCATATGCCGAGGTCACAGAAACAAGTGAACTCTACTTCACTTGCCCTATAGACCGTCAGGTTTGAAGCGGAACTCTACTTTTTAGCGCAATTTCCTTACAGGAATTGCGATTATTAACTCGTCATTTCTGGATGGATGTGTGTCCGCAGCTTTAAGTCGTATCTCCTCCTCAACGAAGCAATATCGAGGACTAGTTCCAAAAGCAAATATGTTAAGCAATTTCCGAGGATGATTGTGGGCCCAAAAAATTCCCGGAATTCCTTCCTGGATTTCCCGGAAAAGCAAAAAAAAAAATGCAGTTTTTTGCCCATATCTCGGCAACCTGACCACATAGCGACTTGAAACATTTACCAATCGATTCCTGCCATAATTTAAAACAATATTGCCGAAGAAAGTTTTCAAAAATATCCTTTCGTTCGGTCACAAAAAATTAATTAAGGAAATTGCGCTTAAATTGTCACTAGACTTTTTATTAACTTGTTTTGATAGCATAACAAGGTATTTATTATTTTTTTATTGAATTAGTAATTTGGCAGCATGAAAAAGATTTAAATTACAAACTGAACAAGTCAAATGAACTGTAACCCTCACTCAGTGGGGATGCTTTTACCCACTGAGGTGTTGTGGTTAAGACGGGCTGACCCTGAGATTAAGTACACACCGACGCCGACAGTTGTTGTCCAGTACTCGTTTATTTATAGCATCGAGCCATGACGGCGATGCAACACAAAACGAACTAGCCAAGATAGACCAAAAGATCCAAACAATCCAAAAGACCAAAAGATCAAAAGATCAAAATAGAAACAGAAAACTGTAGCCCTAAAACAAATGTAAAATAAAAAAGTTACATTCAGGACAACACCACGTGTAAGCTACAATATACACGGGTACAATAAATTATGTTTTCGGCCAGTACAAAGTACTGCCAACAAGTACCAATAAGTAGTACTACAAAATAATATACTTAATTTAATACATCACCCTAACTAGTGTGCACATGCAGCACTAGCAGGAATACATAAGTATTTAAACAAACATAATTTATATATCTACACTACCTTCATTAGGTCTACATCTTGGTCCACAGACAGCAGCCTTGCGTGTGCGACACGACTAGGCCCATGTCACATGACATGGAACACAGGTAATTTCGCTCACAAAAGCATAAAAAAACGTCAACAGTTCAGTTGCAGTCCCACAGGGGCCGCAACCCAATGAATAAAAACTTCATAGTTTTATCCCCCTTTTGGCTGGTAACCATATGTGTTACACAGCCCCCCTCACAAATAAATGTACAATGGAATTTACATTTACATTTACATTTACACTCATACATAATAGTACTTAAAAAAAAGTTCAGTACACTAGTACACAGACATTAAGTCCTTTCAACTTAAATACATTATTCCCGGCAAACCGGTAGAGGCTCCAGTGCTGGTACTGGTCACCACTTGATGCGCCAGGTTGAGTCGCTCGACGGGTCGTCGTTGACGGGTTGACCTCCGCAGCTCCGCTGGTGGTTCTGGGTTGATCCAAGAGTCATCCTCGTCCGATGCCTCGTCCCTCGCACTCACCTCATTCAGATGTGGGGCTGGCCTGACCATCTCCTTTTCTTGTCCGTCCTGGGCGACCACCTCGGGCACGAAAGGCGTTGCCTCCGGCCGAAGTCTGGTTGGGACCACTACCTTGATTGTCAGTTCCTCACCTTCATCTGCCTCACTGGTTGGGATGATCTCTCTCCGTCGCTCCCCCTCCGCCACAGTGGGTTCAGCACTCGACATTGTATAGTCGGGTCGCTGCCAACCACGGCGGCGTCCACCACGTCGTCGGCCTCTCCTCCGGCGGCGTCTCCGACCTCTGCTTGTGTCATGTCTGTCTCCCAAGCGACGATCTTGCTCGCGCTGAGACTGACATTCATAGTGTGGCTGTCTACCCTTCTCACGCGCACCCTCACTCAGTGGGGATTAAGACGGGCTGACCCTGAGATTAAGTACACACCGACGCCGACAGTTGTTGTCCAGTACTCGTTTATTTACAGCATCGAGCCATGACGGCGATGCAACACAGTAGTACAAACGAACTAGCCAAGATAAACCAAAAGATCCAAACAATCCAAAAGACCAAAAGATCAAAAGATCAAAATAGAAACAGAAAACTGTAGCCCTTCATTAGGTCTACATCTTGGTCCACAGACAGCAGCCTTGCGTGTGCGACACGACTAGGCCCATGTCACATGACATGGAACACAGGTAATTTCGCTCACAAAAGCATAAAAAAACGTCAACAGTTCAGTTGCAGTCCCACAGGGGCCGCAACCCAATGAATAAAAACTTCATAGTTTTATCCCCCTTTTGGCTGGTAACCATATGTGTTACATGAACTTAATATTTTTTTTATATTTTTTTTTTGATATATCGATACAAATTGTGACTTTTGGCCGGGGTAGAAAGGTTGACACAAGGCATTGGGATAAAAAGTAACACAGTTACTACCGTGCAATGTAGTCACCTAACTTTAATTAAACCGAAATTAACTAAATCTAGTATTGATTACATTTAAAATATACTTTTTGAAACCCAAACAAAAACGGCTTTGCCAAATGGGTATAAATATTCAATCAATAGTCATACAATCACACAGAGAGAAAAAGAGACAAACATTTTTGTAGGGAGAGCAAGAGAGAGTCAGAGGGAGAGAATGTGTGAGAGAATGTGTAAGAGAATGTGTGAGAGAATGTGTGAGTGATAGTTAGAAAGAAAAGCGGAAAGAGAAATCCGAGAGAAACAAGGGGGGAGAAGAGTCAGATCAAAGACTAAAATCAATGACAGAAACAGTGGGGGAGAAAAGTCAGATCAAAGACTAAAATCAATGACAGAAACAGTGGGGGAGAAAAGTCAGATCAAAGACTAAAATCAATGACAGAAACAGTGGGGGAGAAAAGTCATATCAAAGACTAAAATCAATGACAGAAACAGTGGGGGAGAAAAGTCATATCAAAGACTAAAATCAATGACAGAAACAGTGGGGGAGAAAAGTCAGATCAAAGACTAAAATCAATGACAGAAACAGTGGGGGAGAAAAGTCAGATCAAAGACTAAAATCAATGACAGAAACAGTGGGGGAGAAAAGTCAGATCAAAGACTAAAATCAATGACAGAAACAGATAGCCATTCGCATGGGGTCATTGGGTGGACAGACAGAGGGAGAGAGAGAGGGAGAGATAGGGAGGGAGAGAGAGGGAGAGAGAGAGGAAAAGAGAGAGAGAGAGAGAGAGAGAGAGGGGGGGGGAAGCATTAATCTGATTTTGTCTTCAGCTTACAGGGTCTGAGAGAGTTCCAGAGAAGGTGTTCAACTCCACTTCACACCCTTTTGTGCACCTTCTGGAGGCTCGTCGATTTCATGACGTCACAGGCCTCACCTATGTGCTCAATTATAAAATGGTTGCGGGGGATCTCAGCATCATGTGGTCAAGTGGTCAAACAACTGACGTAGGTAGGTCAGGTCAAGAGTTCTAGTCTAACGATCAAAGATCTGTTCGTGTTTGGATTAGGGTTGGTGTTTTAGAAATATTATCTCCAAATTGAATGTTTAAATACATCCACATCCTAAAAGCCCATGTGCGCACTTCTCTCTCTCTCTCTCTCTCTCTCTCTCTCTCTCTCTCTCTCTCTCTCTCTCTCTCTCTCTCTCTGTCCCCAACATTTTTAGGCTATGTGATCCGTATGTTCAGCGATACATGGAGAACTTAAAGATACGGACTGTTGTTCAAATAATATGATGGATGTTTTAAATGTATAAACTAAATTTTATTTAAAGAATGAAAATAAAAATAAAGGGATATTCGAATGTAGAAATACATTTTTAATTATGCAACCGGAAAAGTGTTGATTTTTGTTTATTGTTGTTATAAGAACGCAAAAAAAAAAAAAAAAAAAAAAAAAGCAACGACGTCACATGTCACATGCTTAAACTTCGGAAGGTACGCAAAACTAATGGCGTCATCTTTCAATTTTATAACATGATGAAATGAACTATTTCATTCAAATTTTATTTAAATTTATAGATCTACTTATCAAGAAGTACGCTATGAAATGTATACAATTTTCTAGGCTAAAATGAATACAAACTACTTTAAAAAACAACATAAATCCCATTGAACAGCCGGGTTTTTAACGGAAACATTTTATTCTCTTAGCAGTGTGTATTTAAGATGGTGTTGTATTGACTAATTTTGTATATAATTTTGGTTATTCTAATAGGTATTGGTAGCACATGTTATTTTAAATGTGTCGGATTTTAGCTATTAAGTTTTTTTTTTCCTGCTTTACAGTAATATCGTTCAACGTGTAGTAAAACAGATAGCGTTTGGCCAATAACTGTTTTATAAAATATTTTTCTCAAACATAATAGAATATTTCAAATTTGTAGATATGTATCAACTTAAATAATTTTTTTAACAAAGTAGGCTATTAACATTTAATCTAACAGGAAAACTAGAGCCATCTAAATTATCGAGTTTAAAATGACTGAAAACTGACTTAGATTTACTGCGGCCCTATATAAACTATGAATTTTAAAGTACTTAAATTTGATAAAACACCTGCAAATGCGACAGAAAGTTGATCGACAGAAAGTTGATCGACAGAAAGTTGATGTTTGGTAAGGAGATTGCTCTGGTGCCGTGGACACCTGGAAAAATACCAGATTCTATGAAATGTCATATTAAGGGGTTGATAATTAAATGCTATATATTAAATGGACGCAGCAGCGTCAGGAATTAAAACTTTAATTTCCCCTGTTCTTTGATTACAAGCAAAAACAAACAATAATAACCTGTGGATAAAAGAAAAAAAAATCATTTAAAATTTATTTGACAGAATGTTCAAAGAGATGTGAAAATGAAACCATCTGTGATAAGTGTTAATTCAAGAGGACACTTGCGAAACCTGATCAGTCGAAAGAAGTTGATCTAACAGCCGTGTTTGTATTTACATATAGAACTTAACTTCAAAATTTTATAATTTCACATACACCGGGCAACACAGGGTGTAATGCTTAATGAGCACATAAATCACGGCCCTTTACAAATTCTTTTTTCCTCAAATGCAAATGCAAGGCGTGGCCGGTACTGCTAGTTTGTTAATTTTTTATTTTTTATTCGGCACTAGTCTAATATATAAAGTTGATTTCTGTATTTGGCTGTCGGACAGCGGATTACAAAGAAATAGAGAAAAAAATCGACTTCATCGCCATAGTATTAAATATCTAAAGTGCTCATCGTCTAAATTATACAAAATTAATATTGAAGGTTTTTTGAAACAAATTTAATTTTACAAACTAATGGTGTTAATTGACGGCATGTGCAGTAAAAAAAAAATAAAGAAAATGTATCACCATTTAAAAAATTCTATTTGTGTCTGAAAATTATTTACTTTTAGTCTTTTAGCACTCATTACGTACGTCCCTTGATAAATTAGGAAAACATAATTACTTCCCTTTAAAACGAGGGTTGGAGTTAGGGTTAAAGTGTTTCATCGGGAGTTTGTGTGAACATTGCCATGTCCATTCGGGCATTTGTCGCATTTGGGTAAGTGTCTATTCGGGAAATCATCCTTCGGGCAAACGGCGTTCGAGCTAGTGTCTTGAATTTATCGTAGACCCGAAGAAAGTAGCTGTAAAGTTGACACGAGATGTCTGCATTAAAAGTGGGACAAAAAGGAGACATTTAAAACAAAATAAAAAATAACAATAAAAACCCTTCTGTTATAAAGGTTAGCAACAATAATAATAAAACACTTGTGTTGATATGCGTCTCTCCAAACGATTATGAAGACTATTAAAAGAATTCTTGTGCTGATATACATATGTTGGAACGTTTAGGAAGACTACTCTCACAAATCTCATGTTGACAGATACCGTCGTACCTGGCGTGAAGGAAACCTCATGCACATTGCAGCCCACTGGCCAGCCCCTGACGGTTGTGTTCATCAGCATGTCATTCGGGTAAGCTACTCGAGGACCAAAGGTCTAAGTTAGTTGGTCAATTAAACATTTAGGGTAAGCTACTCGAGGATCAAAGGTATAAGTTAGTTGGTCAATTAAACATTTAGGGTAAGCTACTCGAGGATCAAAGGTATAAGTTAGTTGGTCAATTAAACATTTAGGGTAAGCTACTCGAGGATCAAAGGTATAAGTTAGTTGGTCAATTAAACATTTAGGGTAAGCTACTCGAGGATCAAAGGTATAAGTTAGTTGGTCAATTAAACATTTAGGGTAAGCTACTCGAGGATCAAAGGTATAAGTTAGTTGGTCAATTAAACATTTAGGGTAAGCTACTCGAGGATCAAAGGTATAAGTTAGTTGGTCAATTAAACATTTAGGATAAGCTACTCGAGGATCAAAGGTATAAGTTAGTTGGTCAATTAAACATTTAGGGTAAGCTACTCGAGGATCAAAGGTCTAAGTTAGTTGGTCAATTAAACATTTAGGGTAAGCTACTCGAGGATCAAAAGGTCTAAGTTAGTTGGTCAATTAAACATTTAACGGTTATCTATCAACCTTTCTGTTGAAGTAACCGAAAGCTATAATATGTCTAACTAAAATATCTCTAACTATAAAGCTACACTATGACTTACTATTAAGCCATCATATTTTTAAAGAGTAATGATTCATCTTTACACCTAGCGATTCATTGGGTAGATGAAGTAGCTCATACATTTATTGACCTCGGCATATAAAGTGATAGTGTACTCAAAACTATGCTCAGCCCGCTTAACTTTTCCAAAAGTGTCAGGTACCCATCAAACCTGTATGGACTCATCATCATCATTCCTTTGTGGCCCCTGGGGAGCAAACGGCTGCTACCACACATCTCCATCGGACTCGGTTTTGGGCTGCTCCCTTTATCTGTGCCCATGTGAGCCCAGCTGTGTTCGCCTCTTCTTCAACCGTTTTTCTCCATGTCTTCCTAGGCTAGCCCACCCTCCTTTTTCCCTGGGGATTCTAATTCAAAGCGTGTTTTGCGATATTTTCTTTTTCTTTTCTTAATATGTGTCCTTCTTCTTTTTCTTCTTTGTTCTTAATTATTAGTGTTGAAGGTGATCGAGATTTATCTGCCAATGCGTTTGAACTCGAGACTTTGTTCGAATTTATCAACCATGAGCTTTTTGCCGACTCGACCATGCCTCCAACACAATTAAGCGTTACGTGTCAACTGGTTATGCACCATTGAGGCCATTGACTCCGATTTCAGCCTGCTTTTCTTTTTGGATTTGCTTCCATAGCCTTTGTCCAACCAAGAACATACTACAAGACAGCAGTTGTTTAATTTTGGAGTTGTCTCTCCTAGAAGAGTGGTTGTCCCCAGCTAACGAGCCTCATCTGCCCGGGGGTTCGAACTCGAGACTTTTCGGTTTAGCAACCATGAGCTTTACCGACTCGACCACGCCGACCCCAATATGTGTCCGATCAATCCCCATTTACGGGCCTTGATATCTGTCTCTATTGGCTGTTGCTTTAAAGTTCGCCACAGGTCTTTGTTTGATATTTTATCAGGCCATCTTATTTTAAGTATATGCCGTAAGCATTTGCTTACGAATGCCTGTAGTTTATCAGTATTTGTCCGAGCCATAGAGCAGCACTGCCTTGACATTTGAGTTGAAAATTCCAATTTTGCTCCGGAGTGACAGGGCCGTGGACCTCCACATCGGACCCAGGGATGTCTTAACGTCACATTACCAAACCATGATCCGTACTAGAGACCTTCGGGCTAGCAGCCAAAAGCTCTACCAATCAACCACATTTTTTACCACGAAAAAAAAAAACCTATTTAAATAAACAAGCGCTGAAATATGAGCTATATTTTTTTTAAAAAGCGTGATGTTCTAGATTCGTCGTTTAAACTTATATATCTGAGAAATAAACACCGAATAAAGTTAAATAAACCTAGCCCCTGATGAGATCGTGAACAGTAGTTAATTGCCAATCGTAAAGTACACCTTGCTGATTGGAGAAATTTTTTTTTTTGAATTAGTAACGTAACCTGTAGCAGTAAGAAAATATTAGCAATGTAGACTTTAGCAGTAAGAAACTATTAGCAAAGTAGAATTTAGCAGTAAAAAAATGAAAAACAGGCATGAATCAGAAAGGCTATTGTTTTATTTGTTTTTACAAGCTTTTATTTAACTTAATTCCTCTGTCTGTCGTCAGTCTGTCGTCAGTCTAAATTGAAATACCCGAGCGAAATTACGGGCACTTCTAACCGACAGATACGGTTCGTAGTTGGTGTGTGGGTCAAAACATGAAGACAGTGCATTATGACATTAAAGTTGACTTAATTAATTACCTAATTGATTTTTTATGAATTAATTTAAATTGTGTCCAAAGTAGTAGGCTGTCTAATCAAACTAATCCGCACTATTATACACGCGTCATTACGTTCATTAGTTGCACAATGGTTTTTAGTCATTCAGCTCTGTAGTAAATTTAAAAAATTTAAAGTAGGCCTACTGAAAAAAATTTCCCATTCATAAAAGACGTTTTAATAACAAGCTTTTATGTAATAATGCACTAAAAAGTGGAAAATAAATTATACACTACCATTTAAATAACTAGAAAGAAAAAGCGTGGGTCTCTTCATAAATATTAGTAAAGGTATTCAATAGATACTATCGTGAAACACGCTTTTCTTTATAGTTATTTAAATAGTAGTGTATAATTTATTTTCTACTTATTAATGCATTATTACATAAAAGCTTGTTATTAAAACGTATTTTTTCATTAGCCAATATCGGCTTCTACGCGACCTGGACAAACTGTTGTTGAACTTACCTTTAGTAGTTAAGAATAGTTTCATGATTCGGTCTGTATGTTTGTATTACAGGGCGAGTTTATATATCGAACTTGAGCCACCAGCAGGAAACAGTACTGTGATTGAAAGCAACATCCCAACCCTGGATTTGTTTGTTCAGCCGGACAGAGACTTAGTGTACAAGAAAGGCAGTAATATCACCTTTAAAGTTAGTGTGTGAACATTGCCCGGTCTATTCCTAATATATAAAAGCCCATGTGCGCACTTCTCTCTTTGTCTCTCTGTTTCTCTCTCTGTCCGCAATATATTTTGGAAACGTGATCAGTATGTTCAGCAGTATACGGAGAACTTAAAGATACGGACTTTTGTTGAAAATAATATGGTGGATCTTATAAATGTATAAACTAAACTTGATTTAGAGAAGGAAAATAAAAATAAATCAATATTCGAATGTAGAAACATATTTGTCCCCTGGCGCCTGGGGACAAACTCTCAATTGGGTGCCCCCATATATATATTTTATATATATATATATATATATATATATATATATATATATATATATATATATATATATATATATATATATATATATATATATATGTGTGTGTGTGTGCGTGTGTGTGTAATAGAAAATTGTGATTAAATGGGGGGGGGGGGGGTTGGGGCGTCATTTTATTGATTGGTCGTTGGCACAAAATATCATAGCTACACCTCCGCCTTCCGATTTTAGTTGGCGAAAAAGTGCGCTCCCAGCGATTTTTGCCGGTCACTGTTTTTTAAAGGGGTAATAGTTTTGCAGTTACACAGTCTAGGTAGAAAACGGTTAAATCAGTAAGTAATGCCTCGTAGCCGTTAAGTTTCTTGACTTTGTTTGTAATTCAAAACTGCAGCTAAAATGAGCGTTTCATTTTTTTTCCAATCCATTTGGGCGCTCCTATGTCGGAACCCGGGGACATATGTACGCCCTCCGCCCCGCCCCCCTCCCCCACCCCTCGCTACGACTCTGAAAATGAGGGTGGTACCGGTTCGAGACACACCACGTTTATTTTAATTTTAATTATTTTTTTTTATAGATGTGAATGATAAAGTTGCCTGTCGGGACTTGGCAGGACAGGGGGCAGGTAAAGTACAGTTCATCTGTTTCTGTCTTCTCACCATATGAAGGAATAGTGTGGTCAGACCAATGCTCAGCATAAATAGGTGTTTTTAAAAGACAAACATAACATAACTACCATTGAACAGCCGGGTTTTTAACGAAATCATTTAAGTCTCTTAATTTTAAGCCTCTTAATCAGCGAGTACATTTAATATGGTGTTGTGTTGACTAATTATGTATATAATTTGGTTTTAATTTTTCTAATAGCAGGTGTTGATAGTCTATGTTATTTAAATGTGTTGGATTGTTTTAGCTTTTTAGTTATTTCGTTGCTTTGTAACTAATATCATTCAACTTTTAGTAAAGCACATTGCGTTTTGACCAATAACGTTTTTATAAAATATTTTTCTCAAACAAGTATAGTATTAAAATTTACAGGCCTATGACTCACGAAACGGGTACCGAAGGCTAGTAGATAATAACTATCATCAACTACTATGTTGTAGAGTATTGCTAAAACATAGGTAAGACGATGCTTGGTCATTTTAAAAATAACTAACTGGGAACTGGAGATTTAGAGGCAAAAAGTCTGGCGTTGGGGTGGATGTAGACGACAGGTAGAGGACCCATTTAGAATCAAAAGTCTGGCGTTGGGGTGGATGTAGACGACAGGTAGACGACAGGTAGACGACAGGTAGACGACAGGTAGAGGACCCATTTAGAATCCCGTAGACGCGGGAGGTGAGTTGTTTAGAGGAGTAGGGAGTCGTATATGTGTGGGCAGGGGTCAGCTAAAGTTGGGAGTCGTATATGTGTGGGCAGGGGTCAGCTAAAGTTGGGAGTCATATATGTGTGGGCAGTATTGTAGGCTTTTCCTTAAACCTAACGTAGGCACCATAAAGCTTACGGGATAGCCGAGGCTCCGGTGGACGCGCCTGATTCAATTTAGTCAACGACTGTGATATCCATTATATCTATAGTATATCGCACGCTTTATACGAACGTAGGAGCTATAGCGCTCACTGGATAGCAATAGCTGGGGCGCCGGCGGCTGCCCTTGTTGAAGTTTTACCGCTGAATATAAACGTTTTCGTTACCCTCTTTAACTGAAACCAAGTGCTTAGATAGCCGCTCTAGAATTCTGGTCGCCAAACCGGGTATTGACAAACATCGCACCCTCCCGTGCGCTGCCCATAAGAAATTTGTCTGATGAACGGTGTCCAACCGCATCCGACTTTTATTTTTTTATTTACCGTATATAAAGAAACATCGCACGCTCCTGTGTCGCCGCCCATGCGAAATTATTATTATTTTTTTTTTTTTGCAGAATTCTTCCCTGGAGTGTTCTAATTAACTCCCAAAGTTTCATGGCGATCGTATATTTTTATATACAGTATATAGAGAATAACCGAATCGCGTCCCTAACTGGGCGCCACCCCTGCGAATATGAATTTTTTTTTTTGCAGGTACCTCTCAGGAGTATTCTCAATAACTTCCCAAAGTTTCAATTCGATCGGATGAGAGGTGTAGTAATGAATCAAAGACAAACAAACCAACAAACAGACACACACACACACACACACACACATATATATATATATATATATATATATATATATATATATATATATATATATATATATATATATATATATATATATATATATATATATATATATACATATATATATATATATATATATATATATATATATATATATATATATATATATATATATATATATGTGTGTGTGTGTGTGTGTGTGTGTATGTATGTATGTATGAGTACATACCATTTTTCGCATTAGACTAACAAGTTTGTACAGTTCCCTGACTATTTTGATATCACTGGAGATTTCATTGATTTTGAAACTGGAGATTTCTGGGAGAAAACTGACCAGAAATTGCGAACAATTTTTGAAAGATTAGAACCTAAGAAGTAAGTCAATTTATTATAACCTTTTATTTTAAAATCATAATTAAAATCGTATGAAACCATGTTTTAAGACTGATACAAATGTTAGCTTGAGTGAGGTTAATGCAATTAGTAATGAAACAGATTGTGTTAGTTACCTGACTAGTGAAAGACAGCTACAGGTACTATGGACGTTAATGTTAAATATGTCTTGTCTGGGTAGTAGGTGATGACAGTGCTATTTACAATTAAGTGTATGCACGTGTTTAATTATTTGTAAAAAAATTAAAGCTTTTGATGCAAACATTAGAAATTTAGTTTTTATAGTGAAAACTTACAATTAAGCAGTAAATTTAAGGGCCCCTAAAAATTTAAGGGCTCCTGACTACAGTCCTCTCAGCCCCCCCCCCCCACCCCCATTAACCCACTACTGCTGTTTGGATCCAATTAAAGTTACCGTTCAAACCTGGCGACTTACGGGGCAGGTGGAGTAGATACAGCACATTTACAAAAAGTTTTTGATTTTACGGGTCCTGTGTAGGCGTGATCGTAAATATAACTCGTTTAGCCGACATTTGTTATCCAAATTATTCAAACATAACATTAACCCTAAATATAACCCTAAATATATCTTCTTTAGCCGACATTTAGTATCCAAATTATTCAAACCTAACCCTAACCCTAAGCTGTAATTAGGATTTAAACTTTATAAAGCTCTAAGCTATTTGAGATGTGAGGCCCTTTATAGGTCTAGCTACAATTGCTCAGTGCAAAACTTGTGTTGATTTCACCTACATAACTTAAACTTATGAAAGCCCCGAGAATAAAGTATAAGGGGATATGATAAAGGAATCATTTAAAACAATACAGAATAAAGATAACGAATTGGAGGATAGGATGAATGAATCATCTAATTCTAAAACTATAGAGATAAGGATAAAGAAGAAGAGAATAAGATAGAGTAATCGTATCAAACTTCCAGCACTATGCCCTGCCGCCTTTACTTTCCCTTATGGTGTGGTCAGCACTATGCCCTGCCGCCTTTACTTTCCCTTATGGTGTGGTCAGCACTATGCCCTGCCACCTTTACTTTCCCTATTAGTGTAGTCAGCACTATGCCCTTCCACCTTTACTTTCCCAAATAGTGTGGTCAGCACTATACCCTGCCACCTTTACTTTCCCTAATAGTGTGGTCAGCACTATGCCCTGCCGCCTTTACTTTCCCTTATGGTGTGGTCAGCACTATGCCCTGCCGCCTTTACTTTCCCTATAAGTGTGGTCAGCACTATGCCCTGCCGCCTGTACTTTCCCTAATAGTGTGGTCAGCACTATGCCCTGCCGCCTTTACTTTCGCTTATGGTGTGGTCAGCACTATGCCCTGCCGCCTGTACTTTCCCTAATTGTGTGGTCAGCAATATGCCCTGCCGCCTTTACTTTCCCTTATGGTGTGGTCAGCACTATGCCCTGCCGCCTGTACTTTCCCTAATAGTGTGGTCAGCACTATGCCCTGCCACCTTTACTTCCCCTATTAGTGTGGTCAGCACTATGCCCTGCCACCTTTACTTCCCCTATTAGTGTGGTCAGCACTATGCTCTGCCACCTTTACTTTCCCTAATAGTGTGGTCAGCACTATGCCATGCCACCTTTACTTTCCCTAATAGTGTGGTCAGCACTATGCCCTGCCGCCTTTACTTTCCCTAATAGTGTGGTCAGCACTATGCCCTGCCACCTTTACTTCCCCTAGCGCCAGTGAGACAGCCGCCAGAGCTGGGAACGCTCATTGACGTTCTACCGTTACAAGTCCGAATCGAGATCCGAACTCGAGACCTCCGGGTGAAACGAGAGTATATTTCTGTCAAAAATCATCCCACATAATATGCTATAAATCAAACTACTTATTTAATTTTTACCCAAATTAAAATAAAACAACCAAATAAATGTTAGCAGAAAAAACCTAAAACAAATAAACCGGTAGTGATCTCCCCTAAACTTTCTCGAATATTCTTATATAAAACAACAGGGGATGGTAACTGGGGATATAGTTATGATTTTTAATCCATTTTAAATACTTAAACTTTTAAAAATAGAATAGAATCTCATAAAAAAAACATTGCGCACCAAGCAAACGCCGAATAAAAACGCGTATAATAGTGCGCAATATTATTAGTACTTTAAAAATTTACATTAGTTTTTTGAGAAATCGGAAGTAGCGTAAATTACTACTTCCAGTCAACGGAAATTACTCAAAATTTAACAGAAGGTAGAGAATTAGATCTTTTACTTACATGTGAAATTTCATTTATCTATCTGAAATAGTACTCAAGTTATAGGCTTTTAAAAAATTCAAAGTAGGAAAAGTACCACTTCCGGTTATCGGAAATCGCTCAAAAGTTGATACGGATCTACGATTTTGATAAAATACTTATATATGAAATTTCATCAACCTAGCTGTAACGGTACTCAAGTTATCGTGTTTACACACGGACAGACAGACAGACAGACAGACAGACACACACACAGACATACGGACAAGATTGCAAAATTATGTTTTTCCGTATCAGTGAGGTGTAAAACGTCGAGATTTGTAAAAATCTCGATTTTTTTTTTTGCACGATTACAATACTTTCTCTATACTACGTATATACGAGAAAGTAAAAAGTAAAAATATACTCAATTAGAATAAATCCACCAATTAATTCCTTATTAAAGCAAAAGGAAAAGCTAAATGTGTAAAAATTAAAAATAAATTCACATATGATCGGTTTACCCAAAATAAAATAAAAACCACAAATTAACGGTTTACAATAATTAAAATAAATTCACAAATATAGTTATTGCAAAATTAAAAACCACAGCACACGTTAAAGGTTTACACAAATAAAAATAGAACCAGCAGATAACGGTCAACACAAATTAAAATAACGCAATGAATTAAGGGTTTGCAAAAAATAAAACTATCCACAGTGTTACAACGCCTGGTGAGGATTTGGAAGAGATTAAGCTTAAAACGGCAAATCATAGAATTAGTGGATTAATACATTTCTACAGGGGAAAACAGCTTCAATCATCTCTTATTAGTTTCATTATGGTACGTATTTCTCTGATCTTGTTAAACTTATTTATTAATTAAAGAATACACGTTACTCATTTGTTTATTTAAAGAATACACGTTTGAAGATGTGCCATTTTTTAGTTTTCAATCGACTAGTGCACAGCAGAAAAATAGTTATTGATGTCAATTTAGCCACTGCTGTCAATTTAGTCAGTGATGTCAATTTAGCCACTGCTGTCAATTTAGCCACTGCTGTCAGTTTAGTCAGTGATGTCAATTTAGCCACTGCTGTCAGTTTAGTCAGTGATGTCAATTTAGCCACTGCTGTCAATTTAGTCAGTGATTTCAATGAAGTCACTGAGTTCAATTTAGTCACCGATGTCAATTTAGTCACCGATGTCAATTTAGATCTACTTACCTTGACTTCATGGATTGAAATCTATACGAAAAAAAAAACATTGCAAGAATTCCCAGTTGAAAAACATGTTCTAACTTTTATTTAGCTGAAGAAATCCCTCGTTGTTCGACCAGCTGGTCAAGAAGGTCCCTTCCCACAGGGTTTCTTGCATCTAGTCATGCAGACAGGGAACAAAAAACAGGAGTTTGGGCAAACTGTAGCTTACTGCAGGTAATATGTCAACTGTAGCTTACTGTAGGTAATAGGTCAACTGTAGCTTACTGTAGGTAATAGGCAAACTGTAGCTTACTGTAGGTAATAGGCAAACTGTAGCTTACTGCAGGTAATAGGCAAACTGTAGCTTACTGCAGGTAATAGGCAAACTGTAGCTTACTGCAGGTAATAGGTCAACTGTAGCTTACTGTAGGTAATATGTCAGCTGTATCTAACTGCAGGTAATATGTCAACTGTAGCTTACTGTAGGTAATAGGCAAGCTGTAGCTTACTGTAGGTTTTAGGCTATACTTAGTGATCAATTCTTTCAGTAATTGATTATCTTAATGATCAATTTCATGTTTTGATTATCGTGGTGATAAATTTATTAGATTGATTATCTTATTGATCAATTTATTAAATGTATAGATTATCTTGGTGATCAATTTATTAAATTGATTAATTATCTTCGTGATCAATTTATTAAATTGTTTAATGATATTTTTATCCTTACTTCCACGATCCAGCTTTCCCAGTTGTGTGGTTGCGTGCGAAGCTTTTGGCGACAACATTACTGACGTCACAGTTAAGCAACTCTCTAGACCAACGCTAGGTGGACAGTCCGGTTTTAGCCGGTAAGGTCAAGGTCATTCAACATATACTGGCACGTCTTGTCAAATCAAAAGTTTTCACCTAGTGTTAGATTAAATGTCAGATATCAGATCATTGTTTAGCCTAGTCATAGCACCTAGTGTTAGATTAATAGTCAGATATAAGATCTTTGTTTAGCCTAGTCATAGCACCTAGTGTTAGATTAAATGTCAGATATCAGATCATTGTTTAGCCTAGTCATAGCACCTAGTGTTAGATTAATAGTCAGATATCAGATCATTGTTTAGCCTAGTCATAGCACCTAGTGTTAGATTAAATGTCAGATATCAGATCATTGTTTAGCCTAGTCATAGCACCTAGTGTTAGATTAAATGTCAGATATCAGATCATTGTTTAGCCTAGTCATAGCACCTAGTGTTAGATTAATAGTCAGATATCAGATCATTGTTTAGCCAGCCATAGCACCTAGTGTTAGATTAAATGTCAGATATCAGATCATTGTTTAGCCTAGTCATAGCACCTAGTGTTAGATTAATAGTCAGATATCAGATCTTTGTTTAGCCTAAAAATTAAGCTTTATAAGCAAAAGGGGGTGGGGTGGGGGGGGGGGAATAAAAAAAATTATCCGTTGAATTCATAGAACTATACGAATCAATTTTAGGCTAGTTTTTTTTTTAAATTAAAAACATGTTTTTTTAGTGTCATTAGGTACTCAGAAACTCGCTACAACCAAGGTCATTCAGTGCAGTTGACCAACTTCTCCCAGGGTGACCAATACGTCTGTGACGGAAGTAACGTGAACGGCGGCCATGTTTCTCTAACGTTTGTCATCAAAACTATCCGGAGGCTTGCCATTATCAAGGAAAACTCCACCGTTTCGCGTACTTGCTCTTCTGTAAGTTGTTATCTCTTCCAATGTGTGTCCTAAGTCTAGTCTGTTCTTTCTTTATCTCTTCCAATGTGTGTCCTAAGTCTAGTCTGTTCTTTCTTTATCTCTTCCAATGTGTGTCCTAAGTCTAGTCTGTTCTTTCTTTATCTCTTCCAATGTGTGTCCTAAGTCTAGTCTGTTCTTTCTTTATCTCTTCCAATGTGTGTCCTAAGTCTAGTCTGTTCTTTCTTTATCTCTTCCAATGTGTGTCCTAAGTCTAGTCTGTTCTTTCTTTATCTCTTCCAATGTGTGTCCTAAGTCTAGTCTGTTCTTTCTTTATCTCTTCCAATGTGTGTCCTAAGTCTAGTCTGTTCTTTCTTTATCTCTTCCAATGTGTGTCCTAAGTCTAGTCTGTTCTTTCTATATCTCTTCCAATCGAGCAGGAAGACATGCAGGACTGCACCTATCACGTGACTTGTGTGGTTGAAGGACGCCCACAGCCGAGGATTAGCGTTGAAATTCTGAGAGAAAATTGGAACACGTCTTCCCTGAGCCGTGAAGAGATATCTTACCTGGGGAACGATGTCTACCAACTTTCAGGGGAGGCTAGTCTTGATGGAACCGATGGGCTGAGCACTTCAGTTCTCTGCACTACAGACGTGCAGGATGAATCGGGTGAACATCAATTCGATGCATTTTACATTCCATCTCCTCCAATCTAAACGTGCTCCTAGGGTTTGTTGACATCAGGTTACAAACAGACAGACGAAGAAATAGAAACAGTCGTAGAAATAATTCAAACAAACTCATCACAATCAATATTTTTGACCGGGTTTTATTGGCTTTATGTGATTTAGAAATGTTATTTTTAATTAGCCTTCATCATTGTAGAATCCAAGTAATTGGCTAATGTAGGTTTACATATGTGTTTAATCATGAATGTACTTAATGTCTGCTCTATGGTGTTTGTTTCATTTATTAAAAACACATAATAATTGTTACCAAAGAAGTGCGCACTCAAGGAATAAATAACCGAATAAGTGCGCACTTTTAAGCACTATACTTACAACACCGGAACTATCGCAGAATGTACTTTTTGTGTCTTAATGTTAGGTAATACAAAGTTCAAGGAAGGCTACTTGCCTAATGACTAGGTTATTAGCCATTTCTCACAATTAAGGTAAGAAGCTCAAAGTAAACATTTGGTTTAAAAATAAAGTATCCCTTTTATTATTTGTATTGTCCAGTTTTTTTTACTGGTATTGCAATGCTAATCTCAACGTCACATCAACGTGATTTTGTGATGTTTCTTGACTTGGGTGAAATGTTGGTAATCTATAGTCTATAGTTTTAGGGGTAAAATCACGATATAGCGTCGATTATTATTCCGGAATTGTACAGCAGTAAAAAAACAGTAAAACCATGGCTTACTCTGTCGAGCCGTTCCGGAAACCACCGGAAATACTGTAAACCATTCTTTATTTGCCGCTTTATTATTTTTAGTACATAATGTTTAAAAATGTGCATGGATTGATTTTAGTTGCATTTCAAATACAGTTTAGCTAACTATTTTGTTTTTCTAATTATTTTAAGTGTATGCGCTAATTAATAATTTTTGCTGCTACTAAACATTATTCTAGTTCTTCTTAGTGATCTAGAAATCTAGATCTAGACTGTTGTTGTCGCAAATCTTCTGCAATTTTTTTTTTCTGGGTTTCTTAAAAAACATTAATTACCACATTCGACGTTAGATAATATTTAGATTTACTAATTGTTGCTAATTTTCTGTCAATTAAACTGTAAATTAAGTTAAAACATTAATTTAATGCACTTGACTTTATTTTTATTTCAAAGGCCAAATAAAATATGGTTTACAGTAACGAATGTTACCAAAACTCATTAAACATTACCAGATATCGTGATTTTACCGTTTTAGGTATGTTAAATCGGCCGACACAAGTAATGTGAAAAAAGGTGACTCATTAAATTTTAGTAATTATTTCACATTTGTAGGATGATTTATGTTTTGAAAGTTACAAAAATGTTTCAAAGTATCATTTATGTACCTGTTTTTAAACAATTGTATTAAAACTTTTCAGTAAAAAATAAAGATTAGCGATGTTTTCATCAGATGCAACCATGCTCATTTCCTTTAGCAGCCATCTTAAGTTGTTTTTTTTTTTTTGGTAAAATTATAGTTAGAGATTCAGGGGAAACCACTCTAATTTACAGATGGCCGATGTTTATATAGCAAATCCTGCTCGCAAACACTGCTGTTTAAAGTTAATTTCTTGTCTATATTGATATATTTAGCCATTAATTTTTGTTTATTATTCAGTCATCTATAATATTTGGCACAAATATATCACAATTAAAGCCTTAACAATGAGGCAACTTTTTCGCTCATTAGTAGTCTCGGACGATTTTACGCATCTACAATGGTAGATTACCGAAATGTTTGTTTGTGTACGTGTCGTCGTCTGAGCAGCCTTGCACTAAAATAAAATATAAAAAATTACAGTTTTAAAAATCAGAAATGTTATGGTTTGGAATGAATGTTAGATACTTTTAATGTACAGATTTGACAATAGATTTATGTTAACATTCAAATTTCCTTGACTTAAATTTGACTTTAGTTATTTTCATTTCCTGTTCTCTGCAACGTTATTTCAGTTCTATACGTCACACTTTCGGTCAATATTATGTATGCGCCTTTCGCTGTTGTATTACAATAAACATAATGCAAAACAAATGTTTCGGCTGTCATCAATGTAACAGTTTCTCTATTCTGTCTCTCTCTGGGGAACGTTGTGACGTCAATTGAAAACCAAAATAGCCATAAAAATAACTACAACAATCTATATATATAATTCTCTTCTTGGAGACGTTAGAAAATAAGCTGTAAGCGCGCCTTGCAGTCCCCTCTCTTCCTCTCTAGGAAGTCTGGTGAGCTGTGGTTCACGCTAAATGTTTACAATCGTAGAGCCGGGTTTAGTGACGGCTTTTAGGAGCAGATAATGTAGTTTGAAACGATTTTAAACTTAGGGGAGGTAACCAAGAGGAGTTTGCTTTCAGGGGGGGGGGGGTAGGGGTTGGGGGAAATGAGAGGGGGGGGGGGTTATCGTCCTTAACGACTTACCGATAGTGTTTTAAAGCAAATATTTTCAGTGACAGCAGTGGTACTGTCGAATTTACAAATTATGAATTACTTAAAAGTAGGAAAAAAAACCAACTAAATAGCGGCGTATGATACGCCGCGGGTCGGCTCGTTTTAAATAAATTGTGAATTAATCGGCAAGATGTAAGGTGTGGGTTTTTTTTTTACTGAGGAAGGGGGAGGGAAGGGCACTGTGGACCGGTCTGGGCAGTGATGCGTGTCTTGATGATTGTGTGTTTGACTTGGTTGTGTGTAGCTACTCAAATAGGGTGGGGGGGGGGGGTGCTACTATGTAGGCAAGAGTCTTTCGTCATCGTTTGATATGGGGTGGGTTAGGTGTATGGAATGTTATTGTCTGGTTTAGGTGTATGGAATGTTATTGTCTGGGTTAGGTGTATGGAATGTTATTGTCTGGTTTAGGTGTATGGAATGTTATTGTCTGGTTTAGGTGTATGGAATGTTATTGTCTGGTTTAGGTGTATGGAATGTTATTGTCTGGTTTAGGTGTATGGAATGTTATTGTCTGGTTTAGGTGTATGGAATGTTATTGTCTGGTTTAGGTGTATGGAATGAGAGTGCATGTTATTGTCTGGGTTTAAAAAGGAATTTAAGGATAAGTGATTAATACGGGGTGTTTGTAGTACATATATCAATCGTATAAATATTATTTATCTATTTATTTTAGTAATACATTTCAACACAGATGTGGGGTCATGGGGGACGAAAGAGATGCAGTTATGGGGTCAATAAGATATGGGGGTCCTGGCGTTTGGGGGCGGGGAAGGTGTGATGAAAGGGGCTGAACTCTGTGTCTCTGTAGGTGTGTGGCGGTTAGGGTTAGGGTTAGGACCCGTGGTAGCCTTGTATATAGTAAAAACTCGACTTGATCACCATAGCGCAATATTCTTAAAGTGTTTATTATCTAAATTAGTAATTAAAAAAAATTAATATCATTTTAATTAAAGTCATGTGGAATTTAAAAAGTGTACACCTTACTTACCTTTGTTTCTTATGTACGAATAACTTTCCTAGATAAATGACACAAAAAAAAACAATTACTTCACCTTAAAAACATTACATCAGGACAAAATAATTTTTATTTGTTTGTTTTGGTGTTCGAAAAAAATAATTACATAATTAGCATGGATTGATAAAGTGCAATGTAGTAGGTAAAACACGGATATTTTAAATACTGTCTTTTATTTATTTTATACACTGAACGTACTGTTTACTAATTATTATTTGTAATCAATAACAGTTTAGAAGCCGCTCCTAAATGTCCTCTATGTTTACTTCTATCTTTTCGTTTGCGGATAATCTTTGGGTATTATAGTCGCTCACTAAATTGAACCAGGTGCGTTCTCTGGCGCCCAGGCAAGGTACTATTTGCGCCCAGGGCTATCCTGTGAGCGCTATGGTACATACGTTCGTTCAAAACAGTGCAACAAACTATGGATAAAAAGGGTTATTATAAATCGAATCTAAGGCGTCCTCTGGGGCACCCCCAAAGGGTGCTATATTGCGCCCAGGGACTTCCCGTGAGCGATATGGCGCCCACGTTTGTTTTAAACATTGCAAAATATTATTTTATCTGATTATTATTATTTTTTTGTAAATTGGTTTCATTTACGTTGTATTAAAAAATAAATTACATTAGAAAAAAATTGTTTTTGTGATAATGTCAATGTTTTGTTTTGTGTTTGTGTTATGTTTATGTTAGTGGATGAGGTTGCGTTAGCGTTAGGATTTATTATTATGTTTATGTTAATGTTGCGCTTGCGTTTATATTTTTGTTGATGTGGTTGTTCTTTTATGCGTAGAAGTGTGTTGAGGAGAGAGGGTTTATATTTATGCTTATGTTTGTAGTTGAGTTTGTTGAGTTAGATTTCATGTTTATATTTGTGTTGATGATGTTTTATTTTTTAGACGGAGAAGTGCGAGGAGTGGAGTGGGTTTATGTGTATGTCTATGATTGTTTATTTTTCTGTTTATTGTTGTTGGTTGTGGTTAGGTTTAACGTTAGGTTTATGGTTATACAAATGTAACTAGGGGAAAGTTACGAGCAATGGTTAGGGCTATAAAAGGGGCGGGATACCACGCACACCAGGGGGGGGGTTGATCTACAGCTGCCGTTAGCTCTTACATTACCCTGGGTGTGGCCTAACCATTTAGTGGATCCGCCTCTTGAATAACGAGCCACCGGTCCAGCGGAAACGTTAGCCAGGCTAAATCTATGTAACAATGGGGCTGGAACCGCCCATGACACTTAGTGGACCGATCATTTGGGTGGCGACCCTCCGGTCAAGCAGATCGCGGGGTGGCCCAAGACAGCGATTTCTGTTATCAATAGCGGAAACGCTGGCCAGCTAACAAAGAGGCTGGAACCGCCCCGATCACGTATTGGATCTAAGACTGGTGGCGTCGAATAGCGAACTACTGGAATTTTCACCAAACGAAAAGACAAGAACTGAGACTATTCTTCCATCAAACATTCCTTCTCATTTCTAGCGTTCACACACTCACTCTCTCTAGCGTAAACATGGTGAGGGGTGGAAGCAGGCGTTGTAACTGAAATAGCAATATAAACAGAAAGTGATATTTCAACGCCAAGGGTAGACAAAGGTAAAGAATATAGTCCAAGTAAAGACAGAACAGTCAGAACCCAACGGGATCCGAAAAGACAAGAACTGAGACTATTCTTCCATCAAACATTCCTTCTCATTTCTAGCGTTCACACACTCACTCTCTCTAGCGTAAACATAGTGAGGGGTGGAAGCAGGCGTTGAAACTAAAATAGCAATATAAACAGAAAGTGATATTTCAACGCCAAGGTTAGACAAAGGTAAAGAATATAGTCCAAGTAAAGACAGAACAGTCAGAACCCAACGGGATCCGAACCTACCATTCCAAACGGCACCTATTCGCCTCGCCCTTCATGCGTCAAGTCAGACGTGTAACCACTTCTGCCAATCAGTTCTACAAAAATAGAGCTTTCACGACAGACCACGGAAGACGCGGGCTGGCGTGACCTTTGAACCCCGAAGGGTCTGACCGGTGGCCTCATAAACACAACAAGGGTTAGGGTTAGGGTTAGGGTACTGATAAAAAGCATTAAAAACATTTTAATATCACACTTTTATGTAATAATGCACTAAAACGGAGATAATAAATGATTTTCTTTAAATATATAATAATACGCTACTATTTAAAGACTACAAAGAAAAGCGTGGTTCTCTTCCACAACATTATTATAAATATCAAATAGATTAAGACATACGCTTTCCTAAAATGTTAAAAAATTATTAATTCTGTCCTGATCATGAGCATATCTCAGACAGGTTGAATATCCCGTTATCATAATAAACTTTGCATCGTTGGAAAACTGGATTCCTCGTGTCAATCCTACTTTTCGTCCTCTAGGAAACATCCAAAGCTTTCAATTGGCTTTACTTGTTATACAGAATTTTGGTGATCTGCATGCATTTCATTTGGTTGTATTACTCATTTCGCAGTTTTATCAAAGCGTCTACTAGATTTTTAAATTAATGATACATTATAGGAAACATTTTAAAGGCATTTTTTTTTATATCCAAATTTTTTCTTTGTTTATTTTGTAGTAGTTAGTGAAGGGTGGGATAAAGCTGTCAAACTACAATTTAAAAAAAACGTTTTAATATGAAATTTCTGTGAATGTTGCTTTTTACCAGTGCCCCAAGGGCTATCTATCTTATTACCAACAATAAAAAAAAAAAAAAAAAAAAAAAAAAAAAAAAAAAAAAAAAAACAGGTGTGTCGCATCTGCAAGTGGTTGAAATGATTCCACTTTAGACTAGATTATTTGGGGCGCTATAGTCTTACAATTAGATTGAGGTTAAATGCTATTCTTTGGCAGGAAGAATTGATCTGAAAATTTCCTGCAAATGTCCGATTTGTGAGTGAACCAGCGTGACAACCTTACATTGCTTTGATAGATACAGATGAAACTTTTCAATTGGCAACCTAGTTTATTTCAAGAGAATGTAAAGTGTACTTCTTGCTTGATAGGCAGTGTATTTTCTGCTAGATTGTGTACAACTATATGAACTTTAGGCGGAGCAAGTAGCCTGTTCTCTAATTCTCCACAGCAAATTTCTGTCAGCCACAATAGAGTTCTATCAAACTAAACCAACACAATTCTAATACTCCACAATGCAGTTCTATCAAACTAAACCAACACAATTCTAATACTCCACAATGCAGTTCTATCAAACTAAACCAACACAATTCTAATACTCCACAATGCAGTTCTATCAAACTAAACCAACACAATTCTAATACGCCACAATGCAGTTCTATCAAACTAAACCAACACAATTCTAATACTCCACAATGCAGTTCTATCAAACTAAACCAACACAATTCTAATACGCCACAATGCAGTTCTATCAAACTAAACCAACACAATTCTAATACTCCACAATGCAGTTCTATCAAACTAAACCAACACAATTCTAATACTCCACAATGCAGTTCTATCAAACTAAACCAACACAATTCTAATACTCCACAATGCAGTTCTATCAAACTAAACCAACACAATTCTAATACTCCACAATGCAGTTCTATCAAACTAAACCAACACAATTCTAATACTCCACAATGCAGTTCTATCAAACTAAACCAACACAATTCTAATACTCCACAATGAAGTTCTATCAACCTAAACCAACACATTTCTAATACTCCACAATGAAGTTCTATCAACCTAAACCAACACATTTCATATACTCCACAGTAAAGTTTAAAAAAAAAAAACATGCCCAGTAAAGTTTAAAAAAAAAAACATGCCCAGTAAAGTTGACCAGCAAGACACCAGCAGCGAGAAGTCGACAGAGGTCAGCCAACAGCTGTCCCACGGCCCTCATCCACCCCAAGCACCACACGCGGCCACAACTACCGCGCCACCTATATCGGCACACCAAGATGCACCTCAACCCATTCTTCAACAACCACCTCAACCCATTCTTCAACAACCACCTCAACCCATTCTTCAACAACCACCTCAACCCATTCTTCAACAACCACCTCAAGCCAATTTCCCACCACCTCCACCCGGACCAGTAGTAATGATACAGGAACCTGGTATGTCAATTTTTAACATTCGTTTTGACAGCATACACATTTATACGCATATAGATCACGCTTAGACACACACACACACACAGGCAACACAACATGCGTACCCACCATACTCATACTCATATAAGCACTAGCGTCCTTTCCACACGGATTTTACCACACAAAGACATAACAAAAACATAAGTTGAAAAAATAAACACAAACACACATACACTTGTAAAGGCACGCACTTAAGCAAGCAAACACATGCACACACACACACTTTCTGCTGGCTGTGCTTTTTAATAGTTGCACCAATTATTTGATAAATCACCTTTCTCTACAGTTGCTATGGTGATGGCTAGTGGTCCACCACTTCCACAAGGTCTAGAATATCTTAGCAAGCTGAACCAGGTCATCATCAAACAGGACGTTGAACTCTTAGAGGGTGAGTATCACGCCCAATTGTCGATTTTAATCACACACATAGAGGAGGAGGGGTGAAAAGTCACACATTTCACTTTTTAGTATCTAGAGACAAGAATTGCGAATCTAAAACAATGCCATTGCATCAGATACTAGTTCTACACTTCAGATAACTGTATGCAGAGCCGTTTGGAATAGCTGATCATGGTATGCCCGTGACAGACTTGCAAAATGGTGATTTAGAATTGTGACATTTACCCCAGTGTGGGGTCGAAAAGTCACATGCTTGGGGTGAAAAGTCACACATTTTCAATGGTAATCAAAACTTATTTTTGCTATTGAAAATAATTTCCCTTAAAAATCATGAATATTAACCCTATCTTGCAAGCTTTTTTATTTGAACATGCAAAAAATTTTCTATGCTGTGTTTATGTTATGTGTAGATCATAGATCACTTCTATATGGATAATTTGTAAAAAAAATTATGGGATATCGCTTTTGTAGGTATGTTGCCATGCGGCCAAATGGCAACAAACTAACAAATTTTAGTATAAACAAAGACAAACTAGCTCTAGGGCAGTAGAAACTAAAGATTTGTTAAACATATCAATAATATATGTATTTCAACACATGTTGGTAATTTTCACATACTACTAAAAACATAAAAATGTATTTATTTATATATGAAACTCATAAGAAAGAGATAAACTTCCAAAACTTTTGTTGGATGCTTGGTATTGAAATCAATGATCACATTATTTAATTGCATTATAATCCTAACCCTTATTTTGGACCTAACACAATAAGTACCATTATTTATCTCTTTAGGTAAATTTGGAAAGTATAATGATTAACTTATTAAAACATATCTTTATTTTTTTATCACATGAGAATATTGTAGCTAAAATAAGCTGCTATAGCAGTTTTCCTAATGGGATTGACATAAGTGTGTATTTCTTGAACTTGTTTGTTGTAGTAAGTTTCTGGTAGCTAAGAGATTTATAAAAAAAAAAAAAAACTTATACAAGCACATAAATTGTCCAGTGATAATTGTTCTTTTAGCCACACTGCATGGTACAATACACTTTTTACCCCCTTACATTATTGTGATTACTAAAATATCTACCAGATAATAACCATGTATTCTAGCTGCTAGAATATTTACAAATATTTACAACACTAACATATATAAATATTATGATGGCTAACAAAAATGTTCCTAGCACTTTTTAAAAATTATTTTTTTTTATTTTTTTTTTACAAAACTGAATTTTAAAATTTAATTATTTACACAATTCTCATACAACTATCACTTTACAACAAGAGAGCCAATTATATTATTACTAGACTACCCGTCATCCCTTGGATAACTGTGGGTTTCGGGGGTCATCCATCAAAAAACATCACGTCTGTCACTCAGAGGCATAGCAACCCTTCCCGGCGCCCAGGGACAAACTTTTCGATTTGAACCCCCCCCCCCCGCAAGATTTCGATTTGCAACCCCCCCCCCCCCTCAAACTTTTGATGTGCACCCCCCCCCCCACTCAAACTTTCGATTTGCGCCCCCCTCAACCTTTCAATTTATTTTTCCAAACCATTTTGGCGCCCCAACATATGTTCCCCCCCCTTCCCCCCTTCCCCCTCCACCTCCCCCGCCTCCCCTTCCCCCCCACGCCTCCCCTCCCCCTCCGCTCCCCCCCCCCCCTCCTCGCTACGCTACTGCAGTGTCACTTATCGTCACAAAAACAGACCCCACATTCAAAAATATGTTTTTTATCTTTTAAAAACACCGATTTCGGACTATCCCTTCATATACTGACGTCACATGTGACCTACTCAACTCTACTTCACCTGCCCAGTGTCCCGCCAAGTCTCAGACAACATGTTTTTATCGTTTAAAAAACGATTCCGAAGCCGAGCATGTCTCTGACCACACTATCCTTTCATATGCTTAGGACAAAGAAACAGATGAACTCTACTTCACCTGCCCTGTATCCTGCCAAGTTCAGATAGGCAACTTTATCATTCACATCTAAAAAAAAAAATTGAAAAAAAAATATCATTGACATATTGGTCTAGAACCTGTGCCACCCGCATGAGAGCCGACTACGCTACCAACTTAGCTATTTACTCGTGACGTCACAAATGAATTTTTATACTATACTTTGAGTCTCCTTATGCAACTTGATTTACGCGCATAGATCTAGATCTAAGTCTAGTAGTAGTAACTTTCAAATTAAATTTTATCTTAAATTAGCCAAACAAAGATTTATATAAAATAATTAAGGCCTGAAATAGATTCTAGATGTATTAAGGCCTGAAATAGATTCTAGATGTAGAATTTACATTAAGTCTAGATCTAGAATTTACATTGAGTCTAGTGACCTAGATCTAGGCTAGATCTAGGCTAGATTCATAACTTTCCTTCGACAGCTGATCTTTAGATGTAGAGAAATTTATTGTAAAACTAAATGAAAAAATGACAGTTGAAAATTGATATAAGTGTTGGAACGTAATAAATACAGCAAACGGACGTATTGTTAAAGTTATGACCGACAGAAAATTAGATTTAGAACGCGTTAAACTTTTGAATGGGGACACAATTTTCTTCGATAGACGCCGCCATTTTATTGTACTAAAGAGTAAACAAAAAACTGTGACGTCACGGTCCCGCCGAGTGTAGTGGTCGTTCTAAACTTTTTAAAAAAATAGGGTTACTCTACGTATGAATAAATCAATAAATTAATTAACGTCTTTAAATAAATGTGTGATTAACAGTCTGTCTTAAAACAAAAAAATTTCTCTACCTACATACTATTTTACAGCTCTCCACGATGAGTGCAACCATGCGCAATAGTCAATCAGCCAAACAAAAAAAAACAAACAAAAAAAAAACAAACAAAAAAATAAATATTCAAACATGTAAACAAACTTGACTTTTAGTAGTATATAGATATTAGTATCTTCTATATCCTCATAATTGTCCACAATTTGTAGATTTTATTTGTTGGTCCTACAATGGGGTGGTGTCACACACTTTATTTCTGGTGTGGCATAATCTGTTTATTCTGAGAGAACGTGTGCCGTGTTTCATATTTCTTCACCTGAATAATACAAATAAAAATATAAAGTTACCCACCATTTCACTAAATTGAATCAAGCGTATCGGCTGGCGCCCTGGTAGGGTGCGATTAGGCTGCATATAAAAATTTCTGTTTCGGCCCCCAAAAGGCTCACATTGGCTGCTGAGGGCCATGTAATACGTTTTATTTAAATAATCAGAAAAATTGACCAAGGTTAGATTATTAACTGGGATGTTTCTTTTTGTCTGTAAAAAAATCCAAACAGTTTCGTCATTTTGCGAAAGATGCAATTAGCATCTATTTTTTAGACAATCCAATCAGATATTGAGATCGTGCATCTAATAATAGACCATTAGTAACGCTAACATATTGCATCAGTCACACTGATGTTTAAAACATGTCAAATAATTTTGTTACGTGTTAAAGAAAAAAAATTCATTTGTGTCACTTTAGCGAATGACGCAATCTGCATCATTGTTAACAGTGAAGTGTGTTCTACCTCATTATTTCGGTTAGTGATTAATATACAATCAAGGTTTTCATGCGGTAGTGTAGGTAAACTTGTGTCCAGATATTTATGATCCAAGCGCAGGCATTGTTTACATTTATATAACTCACTTTTAGAAAGCAAGGTCACGCGTCTAAGAATATAAGATTGGTAACGCATGGATGAAACCATTCAAGTACGTTTCGTCAGACTTTCTTCTATTCCCGCAGCAACGCGCCGGGACGGGTTACGCTAGTTTTCCATAAAAAATAAGTCGTTTGTATACTATTTCTTTATATTTGTGCTGATAATGTCCAATTACGGTATGTAACAGTTTTGATACACCATGCAACGTTATGACCTTGACATTAGCTTGGACTACTGTATAGTGATTTTTCTATAGTATAATAATTAGTTCATTAAACAATTCTTAACGTCTAGTAAGTAGATTCTAGTCACCTGTTGGTTCTTACACTAGCTTAGGTTTGTTTTTCTTTCATATTTTTACAATAATAATATGTAAATTATAGAAGAAAAATAGTGTCAAAATCTGTAACAATAGTAATATAATCAAGCATAAGGCTATTGTATACTAATTTTACTTAGATGTAGCACCTACTCAGTACTATATACATACAGATGATCAGTGCGCTACTATAATAACCCTATAATAAAGGGTGTACAGTGCAGTGCTATTATTGAAGAAAAAAATGTGTCATAATGTATAACAATAATAATATAGCATTAGACTGATATTTACAAGCTGCTGCTTAGAATAACGCATATAATTCTCTAATCATACTAATTCATACACATAGACAGTGTTTGGGTCTAATAAGCTTAGAAAGTAGTATAGTAATTATTATTGAAGAAAAATAATTATAACATTAGGCATAGGCCCACTTACTTAGTCTACTTATTATTTACTACATAAGGGTACACAAACAATAATATTACTATAGGCAGTGGTGGTTTACTTATGTTTATAATAGTAATTAAACTTAATTTATAAATCCATGAAGTTTATGAATGATTAGAGATTGTTTTAGTGCAGACATCTCTTTTTATCTAGAGTCAGCGATAAATTTTGTCGTGAAACCAGCGGCGTAGCTAGGATTTTTTGGGCTCCTATGCAAAAATTATTATTGGACCCTACGTTAAACTGTAAATTATGAATTTTATACGTCCATAGTTGTGTATGTATACGGTATTATTATGCAGTACCCCGTAGCGTAAAATACCTTTGAATTTATATCACTATTTTGAAAAAACAAACTAACAAATAAAGTCTGTAACCTTTAAGTAACCTAAAACACTAGCTTCATAAGGCGGGGGCCTCACAATTTAGGCGCGACACCATGACCAAAACTTGTAAAATTTACTGTCAAAACTATTTTAATACAGTTTAAATAATAAAATATTAAGGAGAGGGGGTAACACTCCACCAGAGATGCAAAATTCTTAGACGGGGTGGGGGTGACACTCACTAAACACAGCGCATGATATCGAACGTTGTGACGCCACTAACCAAATTTTAAAAAGTGGCTCATGATTTATTTAGATTTTTTTTTCTCATAAGTTTGCAAAGTGATTAATATGTTCCTTGAAGTCCATTTTAACTGCTTCTGTATGTTCGATTCTTAGGATGGCCAAGTTACTGACCCAAACGGCATATCTACAACTTGTTTCATAACATCATTATAAAAGAGAGACATGGGGCGCCCAGCGCCCAACTGTATTACTGCCCAGGCGGCTGGAGGACACCCTTTATTTTCTTTAGCCATTGGTTATAGTAGCCCTCCGTATCCCTAGGGCATGACGCTCATTTTAAAAAGTGTATGCGCCGTAGCGCTCCTGGGAGGAGTCCGGGGCGCCGGCTGATGCACCTGTGCAGTTTGACCGTTCAATTAAGCAGTAACCCTGACCTCTTATGCAGGACACCCAATCAGTGTTTCTTCCAGACTTTTTTCTCCGGGGGGGGGGGGGGGGGTACTTGAAATTTTCGGGGGGGGGGGGGGGGGGCGGTAGACATTCTTCTGGAGGGGCGGACACTGTTAAAAGTACATATTTTCTATATAAATTTTATAAATTTCATTTCGTTCGGGGGGGGGGGGGGGGGGCGGGGGCGGTAGAGATGTCTGGAAGAAACTCTGCACCCAATTAACTGACCCCAGATGCTAAGAAAGCCGCTTGGAAACTCTGCGTGGCAATCCGAACCGCATTACTGTTAAGGGGCCGCTCTCCGAACAAAGTATTAAAAAAATATTAATGGCAGAAAACTTTGCAGGAGTCAGAGTTTCTTTTTGGCTTTTCTTCGAGCGGGGAGGCACTTTTCTCATGTCTGGGGTTCTGGTGGGAAATTTCATGGTCAGTGGAGGTTTGTCTGAATTATTTTAAACGACTTCCAAGTGTTTCTTGGCGATTGGATCATTTTTGTATTAATGCATACAGGAGAGGGGACACAAACAAAAACCTTTAAGTAGCGGCCTATTGATTAGAGATAAGTTAGATAAAAAAAAACACATTGTGATTAAAATTAAAATTAGAGAAACATTGACACATTTTCGACTCAGCTTGTTGTCCACGACTGTTATTTTAAAAAAAATGGCTAAGTTGTAATCATAGATGGATGAAATTTAGGTGAAGACAGAGAGTTGAAAGGGGAGGGGGTGCAGGTTTGTGGCGGTGGGGTAGAGAATTTTTAGAGATGCGTATAAATTTGCGGGTGCCGGATGCCAATCTCACAAAAGAGCCAATGTTCAAGTTTATGTATAGGCTAATTCTCTCAACGGCTTGCCCGACAATGCAACAATGCCTATAGTGTTAGTAATACCGTTCAATTTTATTTATAGGCTAATTCTCTCAACGGCTTGCCAGACAACGCAACAATGCCTATAGTGTTATCAATACCGATGGGCCTTGGGGGCTTTTTGGGATTTTTTAAAATTACTTTTACAGTAGAAAATAAACTGGATTTCCGTTGTCTTTTTAAAATTATTTTTATAATACAAATATGTACATTCCAATGTAAAAGTCTTTAAAAAATTAGAGGGAAAAGGGCCCCTATTTGCCTTGGGCCCTTATGCCTTGCTTACGCAAGCTTTACAGTAGTTCTGACTAAAATTGATAGTAGACTTCAAGGAGAATGTAATGAAAGTGAAATTGGTGTCATATTTGATTATTTATCTTATGAAGTTACAATCTAATAACTAGGCCTATAGTAAATATTGTAATGATAGTTATTGTTAAAAAAAAATGGCATAATAATATTTGATTGACATTCTTAAATATAATACTTACACTTGCAAATAAAATAATAATCCTCTAGTATATGAATGTAGCAGTGATACATTATTTTATTTGAATTATAATTTACTTTGTGCATGTGTGAAGATAAAGAGTAAATAAATCTAAAAATAATATATAGTTTGTTTTAGTAGTGACTTTTTTTTTTACAGGATGAGTAAAGATTCTCACAAAAGAATTCTGTCTGAAATAGAGACTGCATATTTCTTTGGTCACTAATGTCTAATTATTCATCTATTGTATACCTGATGTTGAAGGTGTTACTGTAACTGAAATTTTAATGACCGGGGTGAAAAGTCACACTCCTGGAAAAGTGACATTTCACCCCAACAGGTGGTTATCATACAAAATGATCTACACTTTCAAATCTATTTCTATAAGTACAAACAGTTAATCCAGACTGTCGTTATTATGGCATGAGAAAACAAACATTGCATGTGAACACAAAAATGAAAAATTGAAGCATACTTACAGGTTTAAAGTAAAGTTTCCCTTTCTAAACCTGACGGTCTATGGGGCAAGTGAAGTAGAGTTCACTTGTTTCTGTGACCTCGGCATATGAAGAGATAGTGTGGTCAACACTATGCCCAGCCGCCTTTACTTTCCCTAACGTCCTCAGGGACGGTCTACTGACTTGAACCCGGATTCGAACTCGAGACTAACGGGTTAGCAGTCCAGCTCTACTTATAGGTTTCCATTAATTGAATTTCCCACTTGGTCAATGAAAACAAGTAAATGTGGTTCTGAACTCATTTCTGTTTCAGAAAGTTAAAACAGGAAGTGAACTCCAAGCAGGGTAAACAACTAAAAACCATAATTTTCTTGATAAAGGAATGAAAATGTATGTTCTTTAAGGCAAAAACTTGTGACTTTTCACCCTGTGACTTTTCACCCCCCCCCCCCCCCCCTCCTACTTTTTAATTTCTAATCATTCTACATGTCTTACTGCCTATTGAGATTTTAAATGTTATGCCTGATGCTACAAAAATGTTATTTCGTGGAATATACATACACACAAAAAACACATACACATACACACAAACACACACCTTAGACAAAGACCTTGACCCAGACCTAGACCCAGACCGAGACTTGGACCTTGACTTAGACTTACACCCAGACACAGACCCAGACCTAGACTTACTAAGCATGTATAATGCTGCTGTATGCCATTAACCACTTTCTTCCAGCAATCGTTGGGTTTGAGACACAGAATTCCTACAAACTTTTTAACAGCGCGGGTCAACAGTGCTACTCGGCATTCGAAAGTAATTTTTTGTTTTCATTCTCTCTTCTTAATAAGAAAGTAATTATTAATTAAGTTTTGTGTGATTTGAATACATTCAAAGAAACTTCTAAAACAACAATAATAACGTGTAGTCTTAATTGGTAGCCCTAAAGATGGCCCCAGATAATATCCCTAAAGATGGCCCCATTTAGTTTCCCTAAAGATGGCCTCAGTTGCTAGCCCTATACTTTTCAAATAAAATTGGTATTTTTGTAAAGTTTAAAGCATCTGCATTAATTTTCTTCTTTTTTCATTAAGACACTCAAATGATAAGTTGTAAAAATATAAATTTTGTTTACAACTGATCAATATTGAGTTTTTAAGACATTAATTGAGATTTCATTAAAAAGATTTAAAATATATTACAATATGGCGATCAAGTCGAGGTGATTCCGCACCCTATCCATTTTTTTAAAGTGATTTAATTTAGATAAAACCAAATCATTTTCTATTTATAATTTATAAGAGGTCATTTCCTGGCATTCCTGTTTCAATTTTAGAATTTATTCTATTTTGTCTGCATCGATCTTCAAGCTTCTTAATGTAAGTAGATCTATAACACCTAAACCCTAACCCCTAACCCTATTTTTGATTCATTGATTTTTACGTTAGCTTAATAATTGTTGTTACTAATAACAACATGTCCGATACTTGTGTTTGAGGTAGAATTGGAAACATTTTTATCAATAGTAGGTGTGGGGTAATACCACACTCTATGGTGTGGGGGTTATACCACACCCTATAGTGTGGGGGTTATACAAGACTCTATGGTGTGGGGGTTATACAACACTCTATGGTGTGGGGGTTATACCACACCCTATAGTGTGGGGGTTATACAACACCCTATGGTGTGGGAGTTATACAACACTCTATGGTGTGGGGGTTATACAACACTCTATGGTGTGGGGGTTATACAACACTCTATGGTGTGGGGGTTATACCACACCCTATAGTGTGGGGGTTATACCACACCCTATAGTGTGGGGGTTATACCACACCCTATAGTGTGGGGGTTATACAACACCCTATGGTGTGGGGGTTATACAACACTCTATGGTGTGGGGGTTATACAACACTCTATGGTGTGGGGGTTATACAACACTCTATGGTGTGGGGGTTATACCACACCCTATAGTGTGGGGGTTATACAACACCCTATGGTGTGGGGGTTATACAACACTCTATGGTGTGGGGGTTATACCACACCCTATAGTGTGGGGGTTATACAACACTCTATGGTGTGGGGCAATGCCTCACCCTTTGGAAATTCCCTATCATAGAGTTTTTGGTTCTAATTTCAGTATGGTCAGCCCTAATCAGCCCAACATATCTGCTTAAGTGCAGCTTAAGACGTGTTGGTTTTGAAAACTTTGGTAGAAAAAGTACTAACTGGTTTCATGGGCATTTTCTTCTTCCAGCGATGAACAAAAAAGTGTCGAGAGTTTTCTGAACATAAAAATAAAAAAATAAAAAAACTGTATTACTGTAAGAAATGGAATTGCCCCACCTTCCTTATTTTTGCAAAAAAAAAACAAAAAACAACTTAACACCTAAAATCTGTTGTTGTTTTCTAGAATTCTCTATGTATTCTTTTACCTTCATATAAATATATCGTGTACAGTATACACCGTATAAAGTAATTCAGTAGTGTTAATACATGACTTTTTTATAAATAAAAATAAAAGTAGGGTGTGGAATTGCCCCGGGTTAGCCTATATATATATATATATATATATATATATATATATATATATATATATATATATATATATATATATATATATATATACTTAGAGAGAGAGAGAGAGAGAGAGAGAGAGAGAGAGATAGTAAAAGTAAAAATAAATACATCTAACAGCCCGAATGAAAAGACAGGTGGGCTGAGAGACGGACAGTAAGAGTAAGACGGACTGACAGAACGACGAATGGACGGACAAATTGACCGACAGACTAAATAAAAGACAGGTGGGTGGACCGGCTAAGTGTAATGTCCAATAATTTCTCAGAATCCAACTGCTGTGCGCGTCAGTGCTGTGGAAATAATCGCTGTTTTGAAATGATCGTCACCGACAATTTTAATCAGGTAGTTAACGCATTTAATCAGGTAGTTAACACATTTAATCAGGTAGCCAATAAGTTTTATCAAGTAGTTAACACATTTAATCAGGTAGCCAATAAGTTTTATCAAGTAGTTAACACATTTAATCAGGTAGCCAATAAGTTTTATCAGGTAGTTAATACATTTAATCAGGTAGCCAATAGTAGTATATTAGGTCCCTTTTGGTTATCATGGGGGAGGCGGATGCGGATGCGCAAAGGATATATAGTAAAATACTCCCCCACCTGGTGGAGTGGGTGAGCCGCAGGCGAAGCCTGGTACAACGACATATAGTAAAATACTCCCCCACCTGGGTGAAGGTGGGTTAGGCGGAGGCGCAACCTGGTACGATTAGATATAGTAAAATACTCTCACACCTGTTAATAAAAATTACAAAATTAAAAACAAAATAAATAAAAAATTAAACTAATTAAAAAATAATTAAAAACAATCTCATTAAAAACAACAAACAAATTAAAAACTCATTAAAAACTCATTGAAAACTCATTAAAATAAAAAAAATAATGGTTATTACGTCGCAAGGTCACCTGCGGTGATTACGTCACAAGGTCACCCCCTCACCTGACCTACTGACCTACTCCCCCTTCACCCTCCGCATCCCCCACCCTCACCCACCTACTCCCCCAGGTGGGGGAGTATTTTACTATATCTCGTTGTACCAGGCTGCACCTCCGCACCCCCCAGGTGGGGGAGTATTTTACTATATATTCTTTGCGCATCCGCCTCCGCCTCCCCCATGATAACCAAAAGGGACCTAATATACTACTGCCAATAAGTTTAATCAGGTAGGTAATCAATCAAAGTAAATGACATATATTGTGACAGATATTGTGACAGATACTGTGACAGATATTGTGACAGATATTGTGACAGATATTGTGACAGATATTGTGACAGATATTGTGACAGATATTGTGACAGATATTGTGACAGATATTGTGACAGATATTGTGACAGATATTGTGACAGATATTGTGACAGATATTGTGACAGATATTGTGACAGATATTGTGATAGATATTGTCACAGATATTGTGACAGATATTGTGACAGATATTGTGACAGATATTGTGACAGATATTATTACAGATATTGTGACAGATATTGTGATTGATTTTGTGACTGATTTGTGACTAATGGTGTGGCTAATGGTGTGACTAATGGTGTGACTAATGGTGTGACTAATGGTGTGACTAATGGTGTGGCTAATGGTGTGGCTAATGGTGTGGCTAATGGTGTGGCTAATGGTGTGACTAATGGTGTGACTAATGGTGTGACTAATGGTGTGACTAATGGTGTGACTAATGGTGTGGCTAATGATATAGATGATGGTGTCTGTACGAATGTAAAATTGTGTATACACCCTATCTTTTATATAAGTCGCGTGTAGGTGTAGATTTCGGAATTTGTTGATTCCCTCCTTTGCCTGTCGCATTGCAGCATCGCTCGACTCCATCAATAACATCAAATATTTTCAGCGCTATATGTCTTTAAAAATGCAATTCTCTTGTATCAAATTTGATAACAGATTTCATTGTTAGCTGTTCTAGAAGTTGTCAGTTAGCCAGTATCCATCGATGACTAAGACAAATGACGGACACATGAAGCAAATCTAATAAAAGCTTGTATAAAAGATACTTTCATTCCCTCCTCCCTCACACACACCCCTCCGCCCTCACACACACCCCTCCTCCCTAACACACACCCTTGTCGGCTCTAGATGGTGTTCTCAGTGTATAGACCCTACAAATTCTGCAAATATCACCCGTGCTGTGCATGCTGCGGCATATGTCAAGACGATGTCAGGATTTCAGCACCCGATAGCTCGCCGTTAGGAAAAGTACATCAGAGGTCAGGTTTGATTAACTCAAGCGTTTTTTACTTCTGTCATTAGACATTACTTGGTTACTTCTGTCACTAGACACTACTTTGTTACTTCTGTCATAAGACATTACTTTGTTACTTCTGTCAGTAGACACTACTTTGTTACTTCTGTCATTAGCCATTACTTTGTTACTTCTGTTATCTGACAATAGTGATCTAACCTGAACTTTCTCGAATAAACATCTATACCACTACGGAGGATTTACTCTGGTTTCTCTTCACATAAATCTTCACATGGAGTAAATCTTTACATGGAGTAAATCTTCACATGGAGTAAATCTTTCACCTTTACTAACGATTTCCAGTCGCCTACTTTTTTCAAAGGAACATTTACAGTGGGGTTGCGCCCGCTTATTTGATTCCACTGGCGAACACTGTTGGGGGGAGCTGGTTTGAGTTTGCGTTTGTTTCTTTTGTGTGTGAGTTGTGTTTGAATTTTTGTTTATGTTTGCGTTAGAGTCTTCTTTTGTGTTTGCGTCTTTGTTATGTTTAGTTTTGTTCTGTTCCCATGTTGGTAAATTTAAAAAAAAAAGATTCACCATGGCAAAGCACGGTTATGCAGCTAGGCTAATATATAAAGTTCAATTCTGTATGTGGCGGACGGACCTGTGTATGACTTGATCGCCAAAGCGTAATATTCTAAAAGTGTTTATCTAAATTAATGATTTCAATAATTTATATGGATGGTATTGTAAAACAAATTTCTTTTTTTTTCAAACTTATCGTTATAATTTACGTAATTTAAAATGAAAAAAAAAATGTATAACCCTTCACAAAAAATTTAAATGAGTCAGAAAATTATTCCCTTAGCACCAATTACTCCCCTCGATAGACCACAAAAAAGCTACTAATATGAATATTGCGCATTGGTGATCAAGTAGAGCTTTTCAACAAAGGCGAGCGAGACACAAACAGTCGATAAACAAGACTGAAGCAAAATGTGAACAATACTGTAAATTGTGTGGGAATGTAAATTGTGTGTGAATGTAAATTGTGTGGGAATGTAAATTGTGTGTGAATGTAAATTGTGTGGGAATGTAAATTGTGTGGGAATGTAAATTGTGTGGGAATGTAAATTGTGTGGGAATGTAAATTGTGTTGAAATGTAAATTGTGTTGAAATGTAAATTGTGTGGGAATGTAAATTGTGTGGAATGTAAATTGTGTGGAAATGTTAATTGTGTGAAAATGTTAATTGTGTGGGAATGTAAATTGTGTTTAAATGTAAATTGTGTGGGAATGTAAATTGTGTGGGAGTGTAAATTGTGTGGGAATGTAAATTGTGTGGGAGTGTAAATTGTGTGGGAATGTAAATTGTGTGGGAATGTAAATTGTGTGAAAATGTTAATTGTGTTGGAATGTAAATTGTGTGGGAATGTAAATTGTGTGGGAATGTAAATTGTGTGGGAGTGTAAATTGTGTGGGAATGTAAATTGTGTGGGAATGTAAATTGTGTGAAAATGTTAATTGTGTGGGAATGTAAATTGTGTGGGAATGTAAATTGTGTGGGAATGTAAATTGTGTGAAAATGTTAATTGTGTTGGAATGTTAATTGTGTGAAAATGTTAATTGTGTGGGAATGTAAATTGTGTGGGAATGTTAATTGTGTGGGAATGTAAATTGTGTGTGAATGTAAATTGTGTGGGAATGTAAATTGTGTGGGAATGTAAATTGTGTGTGAATGTAAATTGTGTGGGAATGTAAATTGTGTGGGAATGTAAATTGTGTGGGAATGTAAATTGTGTGGGAGTGTAAATTGTGTGGGAATGTAAATTGTGTGGGAATGTAAATTGTGTGAAAATGTTAATTGTGTGGGAATGTTAATTGTGTGAAAATGTTAATTGTGTGAAAATGTTAATTATGTTAAAATGTTAATTGTGTTCAAATGATAATGTGATATTGTGTTTTCTACCTGCTCCATTATAAGACCTAGCATAGCCTTGAAATGTGACATTGTGTCATCTAGTTTGTGTTGTAAATGTGACATTGTGTCATCTAGCTTGTGTTGTAAATGTGACATTGTGTCATCTAGCTTGTGCTGTAAATGTGACATTGTGTCATCTAGTTTGTGTTGTAAATGTGACATTGTGTCATCTAGTTTGTGTTGTAAATGTGACATTGTGTCATCTAGCTTGTGTTGTAAATGTGACATTGTGTCATCTAGCTTGTGTTGTAAATGTGACATTGTGTCATCTAGCTTGTGTTGTAAATGTGACATTGTGTCATCTAGTTTGTGTTGTAAATGTGACATTGTGTCATCTAGCTTGTGTTGTAAATGTGACATTGTGTCATCTAGTTTGTGTTGTAAATGTGACATTGTGTCATCTAGCTTGTGTTGTAAATGTGATATTGTGTCATCTAGCTTGTGCTGTAAATGTGACATTGTGTCATCTAGTTTGTGTTGTAAATGTGACATTGTGTCATCTAGCTTGTGCTGTAAATGTGACATTGTGTCATCTAGTTTGTGTTGTAAATGTGACATTGTGTCATCTAGCTTGTGTTGTAAATGTGACATTGTGTCATCTAGTTTGTGTTGTAAATGTGACATTGTGTCATCTAGCTTGTGTTGTAAATGTGACATTGTGTCATCTAGCTTGTGTTGTAAATGTGACATTGTGTCATCTAGTTTGTGTTGTAAATGTGACATTGTGTCATCTAGCTTGTGTTGTAAATGTGACATTGTGTCATCTAGCTTGTGTTGTAAATGTGACATTGTGTCATCTAGTTTGTGTTGTAAATGTGACATTGTGTCATCTAGCTTGTGTTGTAAATGTGACATTGTGTCATCTAGCTTGTGCTGTAAATGTGACATTGTGTCATCTAGTTTGTGTTGTAAATGTGACATTGTGTCATCTAGTTTGTGTTGTAAATGTGACATTGTGTCATCTAGCTTGTGTTGTAAATGTGACATTGTGTCATCTAGCTTGTGTTGTAAATGTGACATTGTGTCATCTAGCTTGTGTTGTAAATGTGACATTGTGTCATCTAGTTTGTGTTGTAAATGTGACATTGTGTCATCTAGCTTGTGTTGTAAATGTGACATTGTGTCATCTAGTTTGTGTTGTAAATGTGACATTGTGTCATCTAGCTTGTGTTGTAAATGTGATATTGTGTCATCTAGCTTGTGCTGTAAATGTGACATTGTGTCATCTAGTTTGTGTTGTAAATGTGACATTGTGTCATCTAGCTTGTGCTGTAAATGTGACATTGTGTCATCTAGTTTGTGTTGTAAATGTGACATTGTGTCATCTAGCTTGTGTTGTAAATGTGACATTGTGTCATCTAGTTTGTGTTGTAAATGTGACATTGTGTCATCTAGCTTGTGTTGTAAATGTGACATTGTGTCATCTAGCTTGTGTTGTAAATGTGACATTGTGTCATCTAGTTTGTGTTGTAAATGTGACATTGTGTCATCTAGCTTGTGTTGTAAATGTGACATTGTGTCATCTAGCTTGTGTTGTAAATGTGACATTGTGTCATCTAGCTTGTGTTGTAAATGTGACATTGTGTCATCTAGTTTGTGTTGTAAATGTGACATTGTGTCATCTAGCTTGTGTTGTAAATGTGACATTGTGTCATCTAGCTTGTGTTGTAAATGTGACATTGTGTCATCTAGCTTGTGTTGTAAATGTGACATTGTGTCATCTAGTTTGTGTTGTAAATGTGACATTGTGTCATCTAGCTTGTGTTGTAAATGTGACATTGTGTCATCTAGTTTGTGTTGTAAATGTGACATTGTGTCATCTAGCTTGTGTTGTAAATGTGATATTGTGTCATCTAGCTTGTGCTGTAAATGTGACATTGTGTCATCTAGTTTGTGTTGTAAATGTGACATTGTGTCATCTAGCTTGTGCTGTAAATGTGACATTGTGTCATCTAGTTTGTGTTGTAAATGTGACATTGTGTCATCTAGCTTGTGTTGTAAATGTGACATTGTGTCATCTAGTTTGTGTTGTAAATGTGACATTGTGTCATCTAGCTTGTGTTGTAAATGTGACATTGTGTCATCTAGCTTGTGTTGTAAATGTGACATTGTGTCATCTAGTTTGTGTTGTAAATGTGACATTGTGTCATCTAGCTTGTGTTGTAAATGTGACATTGTGTCATCTAGCTTGTGTTGTAAATGTGACATTGTGTCATCTAGTTTGTGTTGTAAATGTGACATTGTGTCATCTAGCTTGTGTTGTAAATGTGACATTGTGTCATCTAGCTTGTGTTGTAAATGTGACATTGTGTCATCTAGCTTGTGTTGTAAATGTGATATTGTGTCATCTAGCTTGTGCTGTAAATGTGACATTGTGTCATCTAGTTTGTGTTGTAAATGTGACATTGTGTCATCTAGCTTGTGTTGTAAATGTGACATTGTGTCATCTAGTTTGTGTTGTAAATGTGACATTGTGTCATCTAGCTTGTGTTGTAAATGTGACATTGTGTCATCTAGCTTGTGTTGTAAATGTGACATTGTGTCATCTAGCTTGTGCTGTAAATGTGACATTGTGTCATCTAGCTTGTGTTGTAAATGTGACATTGTGTCATCTAGCTTGTGTTGTAAATGTGACATTGTGTCATCTAGCTTGTGTTGTAAATGTGACATTGTGTCATCTAGCTTGTGTTGTAAATGTGACATTGTGTCATCTAGCTTGTGCTGTAAATGTGACATTGTGTCATCTAGTTTGTGTTGTAAATGTGACATTGTGTCATCTAGGTGTTCCATTATAAAGCCGAGGTATTACGTCCTAGACCACAACTCCCAATCTCAGTGTGAGATTGTCGGACCAATCTGTCAGTGTACACTTTGCTGTAAATCTGTGGAATTTACGGTTGGTCATTACTGTTTATCTTTCTTTTTGTCTGTCTGTGGTGCTTTTGTCCGTCATAGATTGAAACTGCCGATCGAAATTTCGAGCACTTCTCACTTACCGATTGGTTTGCACGTGGGTCCAGAGCCGATGACAATGCAATATGACATCAAATTTTACTTTTTTTTTAATAAATTCATTAAATTTTTCCGAATAAATTTTGGGGGTCTACTATCATTCCTCAATATTAAATGTAAGACCTGACTGGGCCCTAGGCTTATGTATTAAACCGTCCGGTCAGTGAAAGTCCGGCTAAACCCAGACTGGTGGTAAACCCAGAGTCTAAACTAAACTAAAATTTAAAAAACCTTAACAATTTATAAAATTTATTATATGGAAAAAAATGTTTTAATGTAAAGTGTTAACGACAAAACTGGAGGTAACTAAACATTCAAAATACGACCAAACAAAACACCACAGAAATACTTCAACACAGGCCTCGACATTCCCACAGAATGTCCCTCCTTGTCCTCAGATGTTCACGAACAAACACCAAATTCAAAATTCTGCCACATACTTCGCACAAGAAGATAGTCCCTAATACTATAACAACTAACAACATGACATAAAACAAAGTGGGACCACACACCAAAACAAAGTGTGCATAGATAATATCAAAATAAAAACAAGACACAAAAATCAAATATAAACAATTTTAAAATCAAAATCATTCCCGCGCCAAAATAGCCGACTACTTAACTAAAAACCACAACAATCCTTAACAGGAACACAAAAAGTGACATTCGCATTTTTGTAATAAAACAATAATAATAATGCTTATTAAATAGCTGTCCAGCCCCTTATACATTTTCATGTTCATCTGGTGCGCCATTTTTAACTCTTGAAACTATTCTATTAAAAAATTTCAAGTAATGAAAAACAAAATGCATAAGAAACGTTATAATAACAAGCTTTATGCACTAAAGCACTAAAAAGGAAAGAACAAATGATTTTCTTTAAATATAAAATGATACAGTACTATTTAAATAAAAATAAAGAAAGCGTGGGTCACTATATTATCTATTGGATACCTTTACTAATATTTATGAAGATACCCACGCTTTTATAGTTATTTAAAAATGGTGTATTATTACATGATTTTTTTTTCATTTTTAGAGCTTTTTATTAAAAAGCTTTTTAATGAATTTTTGAATATGACGGATCCGTTTCCTATAACACACCCTTTCCCCGCACTAGGACTGTTTATTGACCTACTTACCAGCCCTATAACACACCCTTTCCCCGCACTAGAACTGTTTATTGACCTACTTACCAGCCCTATAACACACCCTTTCCCCGCACTAGAACTGTTTATTGACCTACTTACCAGCCCTATAACACACCCTTTCCCCGCACTAGAACTGTTTATTGACCTACTTACCAGCCCTATAACACACCCTTTCCCCGCACTAACCCTAACCCTACGCTAACCCTTGCCTCGCACTAGGTCCGCAGTATACACGACCACAAAAAAATTGGAGCCATATCAAAATACCGAGGTGACATTATTCAGGAACTATTTACTGATGCAGACACTTTCGGTGTGACATGTGAGTTGGTTATCACGTGACAGGTGACATTGTGGTCATGTCACATGGACAGTTTCTTGTCCTGCGTGATTGTCTCATCACTTTGTACCTGTGATCTAACCCTGTGTGACTGTCTCATCACTTTGTACCTGTGATCTAACCCTGTGTGACTGTCTCATCACTTTGTACCTGTGATATAACCCTGTGTGACTGTCTCATCACTTTATACCTGTGATCTAACCCTAACCCTGTGTGACTGTCTCATCACTTTGTACCTGTAATCTAACCCTGTGTGACTGTCTCATCACTTTGTACCTGTGATCTAACCCTAACCCTGTGTGACTGTCTCATCACTTTATACCTGTGATCTAACCCTAACCCTGTGTGACTGTCTCATCACTTTATACATGTGATCTAACCCTGTGTGACTGTCTCATCACTTTGTACCTGTGATCTAACCCTGTGTGACTGTCTCATCACTTTGTACCTGTGATCTAACCCTAACCCTGTGTGACTGTCTCATCACTTTATACCTGTGATCTAACCCTGTGTGACTGTCTCATCACTTTGTACCTGTGATCTAAGCCTAACCCTGTGTGACTGTCTCATCACTTTGTACCTGTGATCTAACCCTAACCCTGTGTGACTGTCTCATCACTTTGTACCTGTGATCTAACCCTGTGTGACTGTCTCATCACTTTGTACCTGTGATCTAACCCTGTGTGACTGTCTCATCACTTTGTACCTGTAATCTAACCCTAACCCTGTGTGACTGTCTCATCACTTTGTACCTGTGATCTAACCCTGTGTGACTGTCTCATCACTTTGTACCTGTGATCTAACCCTAACCCTGTGTGACTGTCTCATCACTTTGTACCTGTAATCTAACCCTGTGTGACTGTCTCATCACTTTGTACCTGTGATCTAACCCTAACCCTGTGTGACTGTCTCATCACTTTGTACCTGTAATCTAACCCTGTGTGACTGTCTCATCACTTTGTACCTGTGATCTAACCCTAACCCTGTGTGACTGTCTCATCACTTTGTACCTGTGATCTAACCCTAACCTTGTGTGACTGTCTCATCACTTTGTACCTGTGATCTAACCCTAACCCTATGTGACTGTCTCATCACTTTGTACCTGTGATCTAACCCTGTGTGACTGTCTCATCACTTTGTACCTGTGATCTAACCCTAACCCTGTGTGACTGTCTCATCACTTTGTACCTGTGATCTAACCCTAACCCTGTGTGACTGTCTCATCACTTTGTACCTGTGATCTAACCCTGTGTGACTGTCTCATCACTTTGTACCTGTGATCTAACCCTGTGTGACTGTCTCATCACTTTGTACCTGTGATTGTATTCAAGCTTCGACTCCTGCTTTAAGTCTGTTTCCTACTACCTTTTTTTCCCCTGACTTATCCTATTGACTTACGACTTTATATTATTTCTCATCTATACATCTGCTTCACAGTCCCCATAGATCTTGACGTCAGAACGAAGGCAACTTTGATTGGAGCTGTCTTTCTCATTGTAAGTGTTTTGGCTTTTCTATGGTTAGGGTTAGGGTTTTGTTAGGCTTTTCTTTGGTTAGGGTTAGGGTTTTGTGAGGTTTAGCTTTTGTTGGGTTACGCTTTTGTTGGATAATAATTTTATTAGATTAGGCTTTTGATGGTTAGAAAAGTTGAGTTTATTCTTCGTTTAGCATGCGTTAAAGTTAGAAAAGTTTAGTTTATTCTTCGTTTTGCATGAGTTAAAGTTAGAAAAGTTTAGTTTATTCTTCGTTTTGTATGAGTTAAAGTTAGAAAAGTTTAGTTTATTCTTTGTTCTTCAGGACTTCATGTTCTTCGAGGATCCACCAAAACAAAAAGTAACAACGTAACTCCCTTCTGAAGATGTCTCAACTTGGCCAGTACCTCAACAGCATACACCATCATAACATCACAGCATGTAACATCCCAGATTGCAACACCACAGCATGTAACATTCCAGACATCCCAGATTGCAACAACACAGCATGCATCTCTGTGACACGTCTTGCTGTTCTACTTATGTTACAGAAAATGAATAAACAATTATTGATGTAAATTACCAGCAAAAAAATAATAAAGAAATGTTTTAACCGAGGAAAAGATGTGAGCTCGTTATGTTTACAAATGAACTCTGCTTGATCGAGAAGGACGTCAAAATCAGAGGCGTAGCTGGGTGGGGGGGGGTTGACCCTAGGGGGTGGAAAAAAAATTTAAAACCTGATTTTATGCTGAAGTTTTTGAAATATAAACAGTCTAAGATAAGAAATGTATTGGCTTCAACAAGTCCTAATGATGCAATTTTCATATAGTTTCATATTGTTAAGGCCTCGAGATCTACTAAACGATGTAAAAATGGTACAATATATGACGTCTGCTAATGCTTTGTTACTTTGTTCAGCCTGATAATTTAAAACTGTAATACATGTAACCCTCACTCAGTGGGGATGCTTTTACCCACTGAGGTGTTGTAGTTAAGACGGGCTGACCCTGAGATTTAGAACACACTGACACCGACAGTTGTTGTCTAGTACTCCTTTATTCACAGCATCGAGCCATGACGGCGATGCATAACACAATAGTATGACGGTTACAGATGAATACCAAACGAACAGGAAAACCAAAAAGAAAACAGAGAAGACTGTAACAAAGAACTGTAGCCCCACACTACCTTCATTAGGTCTACATCTTGGTACCGTCACCGTGTCCACAGACAGCAGCCTTGCGTGTGACTGACACGGCTAGGCACGAAACTACCCACAGTCCCATGTCACATGACATGGACACAGGTAACATCGCTCACAAGAGCATGCAACACAACTACATCAACAGCGCTACGGCCCCACAGGGGCCGCAACTCAATGAATTAAACCTTTATTTGTTATCCCCCCTTGGCTGATGACCATATGTGTTGCATACACTATTATCGAAATTGTTCTAAAGACACGACCAAAAGTAGACCAAATAAGCTTGCACCTTTTACAAACTACACTCTGAAGCAGAGTTTCTTCCACGCGTCTCTTGGGGAAGGCTTAGTCCCCTCCCTCCTCCTCCCCCCCCCCCCCCCCCCCAAGAAAGTCTACCGCCTCCCGAAAGAAATGGATTTTATATAGAAAATATATACTTTTAACAGTGTCCCCCCCCCCCCCCGGAAATTTTAGTCCGCCCCCCCCCCCCCCCACCCCAGAAAATTTCAAGTGCCTCTAGGAGAAAAATGTCTGGAAGAAACCCTGCTCTAAAGCAGTGGTTCTTAACCTTTTTGAAGGTACCAAACCCTACCAGTTTCTTATGCGCCTTGAGGACCCTTCTTAATATTTGCATCGTCCACACTGACAAAATCAGATCGTGAATCATATGAGTGTGTGTCTTGACCTCCGCCGAAGCCCTGAGACTGACTCACCGAACGTCGTGGCTTCAGCCGAGGCCAGGTTAAGAACCAATGCTCTAACTCTTTTGATTTCGTCTTTTTCCACGCTTTTATCCAAGTCACTGTCTGTCCTCCGTCTAGATCGGAACGCCCGAGCGAAAATTCGGGCACTTCTAACTGACAGATACGGTAGTAGTATATTAGGTCCCTTTTGGGTCGTTTTTTTGGCGGAGCAGGATGTGGGGAGGAGCAATGACATATAGTAAAATACTCGGGAGCAGGATGTGGGGAGGGCGCAAAGAGATATAGCAAAATACTCCCAGCCTGGCGCATCGGGATGTGGAGGGTGGGTGAGCAGGATGCGCAGAGGGCGCAAAGACATATAGTAAAATACAACGCCAACTGGGGTTGGCGGAGCAGGAGGGTGGGTCACCTTTTGGTGACCTTGTGACGTAATCATTGACCTTGTGACGTAATTAGTGACTTTGTGACGTAATCACTGACCTAGTTACGTAATTTTAATGCGTTTTTTAATTAGATTTAATGAGTTTTTAAAATTTTAATTAATTTTTTATTAACGAGTTACGTAATTTGATTTTAATTTTTTAAATTTTTAAATTTTTAATTTTATTTTATAATTAGTTTAATTTTTATTAACTAGTTACGTAATTTGATTATTTGTTTGATTTAAATTGTTTAATTTGTTTGTTTACTTGTTGTTTGATTTAATTACTTTGTTTATATTGTGTAATTTTTATTAACGAGTTACGTAATTGGATTTTATTTTTTTAAATTTTTAAATTTTTAATTTTGTTTTATAATTAGTTTAATTATTATTAACTAGTTACGTCATTTGATTTTTTAATTTTTTAAATTTTTAAATTTTAAATTGTTTACTTTGTTTGTTTAATTTGTTTAATTTATTTATTTGATATATTTCTTTTCTCTGATGTATGGTATTTTAAAATAAAAGACTAACACTAGTGTGTACTTTGTATAGGGACCATTCTACAACACAACGCTAACGTATACTTTGTGTCATGACTTCCATTTAACCAGCCGTGTAACACCTGTTACGTATCGATTCACCAGCTATCCTTTGTTTTTGACACGCGCTCCCCGTTTTTTTAATGGGAATGTATTGATCGCACCCACTGACCATCAGTATGATGGTCCACCTAATTAAATTTGGTCACGCATCACCGAGTTTTCCCCGCTAGGTTTGACAGGTCATGATGATTTATGTGTTGTTCACGGAAGCGAACACCGTAGGGTCCGGTGTTTAATGAGGTCCATTAAGCGCGTCTCCGCGTTAAGTGTGGTAACAGCTGTACCACTTTAATTGATTTTTCCCCGCTCGGTTACTAGAGTGGGAAGCCATCACGTAACAGCTGGTGCTGTAATTACGCTGAGTAAGGACTTTGGTTGTAACTATTCGCTTATAGCGAGGGTCAGCGAAAACAAAATATATATTTAAGGGTTGGAATTTTCTTTCAACCACCGTTAAATCAGGTTTTGAGACGAAACGAAGTCTCGGTAGGTTCGTGTTTTTTAACGGGCGACAGGGCGACTTGGTGCGTTGGTACGTGAGGTATGCGGGGTAGACATGTTTTTTACAAGTCTGGAAAAGTAATTAAGTTTTTTATGACCGTTCCGATTTTCTTTTGATCTGACCACCATTTGACCACCCTGAGCCAGATAAATTTAACAAATGTTCAATACATAGTCGCTTATAGTAACATGGGTGAGGGGTGTAAGCAGGCGGGTGACGGTGTGAACAGGTGGGTGAAGGGGGAAATATTAACAAATGTTCAATACATACTCGCTTATAGTAACATGGGTGAGGGGTGTAAGCAGACGGGTGACGGTGTGAACAGGTGGGTGAAGGGTGAAAGGTGGGTGAAGGTGGAGAAGGTGGGTGAAGGGGGAACACGAGTAGGAGTAAAGGATATATAGTAAAAGACTCTACCACCTGAGTGAGGTGGGTGAGGAGGCGGATTTTAATTTTAATTTTTTATTTTATTTTTTCATCATCTGTTAACTTTAAGGTTCTATAACTCTATATATTTAAATACATTTTTTGATTCAAACGAGTTTACTTTTCCTAATGCAAGTACAGGTAAAGAGGGATTTCCTATAGATCTGTAATGAAGTAGGCCTTGTTGACTATGACTGGTTGTCCAGGTGTTGACATGATACACTTTTTTGAGATACACGTACACACACACACACACACACACACACACACGCGCGCGAAATTCATACTAGGTCGGTAAAGGCGGAGAGAACTTATAGGTATACATTATCATGGCGACAACAAAAGCGACCCTTATTTTATTTACATGAAAGCGTGTTTTCCAAAAAGTGTCACCAGGCCGTTGTCATTTTCGCAGCGGGGTTTATATTTTAAGTGCACCCCGTGCACGCTTGTTTACATTTTAAAAGTTGTGTCGCGTGTCGTCCCCACATGTCTTCCCTAATAGAGAAACGAGAGGAAAGACAACTGTTCTAAAATTAGAACAGACTTGTTTACAGCCACGAGTATCGTCCCTTGTGAAAAAAATTGCGCGTCAGAATCCTTAACTAAACAGTCAATTTCTTTAACAAGTTAAAAATAATTTAGGAAGACAAGGGTTAGCAACATTAGACGCCACCATTTTTGTTTCATGTGACGACAAGGCACAATACACTTTTGTAGTTTATGTTGTCAAGTAGAGGGGTGGGATATTTTTTCTTTGTAAGAGTCTTGTAAACAATGGGTAGAGGAGGCGATTACTAAGTAAGAGGGGAGAGAACGTGACTTGCATCGCGATATTTGAAAACATGGCGATGTTTAACCTCAATCAAAAAAGGCAATGAACCTAGAAGGAAGACGAATATATATCTTAGTCTTGCAGCAGATTACCTTCCCATGTTCGCTTTAGTATTACAGTTTTCATCAAACTTCTTTTTGACTTGAACTTCTTTAATTTTTAAGAAAGTTTACTTATACATAAGACATTACGTCTAATTACAATTTTTTATTTTTACCACTCAATGTATTTTCTTTTTCTATATCTTACATTGTCATCTTAATTTTTTATCACCTTAGTAAAAATTTGCTTAAGATTATAAACTTCAAGTTTTAAAAAACAACAACGTTATAGTACGTCGTGTCAAATGACACACCGTTTAAAATGTCTACATTTAAAGTTCACCAATATAATGACGTAAAAACTAAATATGATATGACGTTAGCATACATATCATACAATCTAATCACTCTAAAGTACAAATCAATAATTTTTATTGATTAAGGGGCTGGGTGAGTTATTTTTATTCGGGTGCCCAGGGAAGGTTTGGAGTTGGCTAGGGGCACCGTTCATACTAGAGTCTGTGACGTTTTCACCGAGGCAGGGTTCGAAGCTAGACCATACATGTTTTGGAATTGTTAAGGGTCGACCCTATAGTAGGGTCGGGGGAGTTTTGTTAACACAGAGGGATGTTTCGAAGTTGGTACATCCATGTTTTAGAATTGATAGGTAGAGAGTTTATACGAGAGTCGTGGGAGTTTTCACCGAGGTTGGTTTTGAACTCGGACCATGGATGTTTAGGAGTTGGATGCGGCAGAGTTTACACTAGGGACGGAGGTGTTTTGGTTACACCGAGGGTGGTTTCGAAGGTCGTACATGCATCCTTGGAATTGTTAGGGGCCGTCTTCATACTAGGGTCGGTGAAGTTTTCACC